ACCATTATAACACATTACAGGAAAGACAAAAGCCCTAAAAGCATAATGGGGCCATTTTAAAGAAGCCATTGATAGACTGAGATGGACAGTAAACAGCTGAACAGGGTCAAAGGGTGTTTTCCTCTGTTAAACCTGAAATATGTCAGTTATTAACCAAATAGGTTGTTGTTGAGTTCTGAGGGTAAAGGTCTATAGAAAGGTCAGGAACAAATGGAACATGTTTTACACAGTCAGTGAACACACTAACCATGTCCCTGTCTCAGCATCTCTGCGGGGGGAAAGCATATTGAACAGTGTGTTGGCAGCTGTACAACATCAATGTGTGAGATAAATGATGTGCTGGACTGTAAATAAAGTCCACGAAGCTGGACAGATAAGGTTTTTGCCAGAGTCCCACGTAATGCGTCAGCTGAGTGATTTGACTTTGTCAAGAGGGGCAACTGCTTCAAAGCAATCGGCTCCTTGGTTAATGTTTTCCTTAATGAACAGTATATATTATATTATTAGCCATGGTAGTGTCATGACTCTATGTATGGCAATAATAGTTGGTTGGTTCATCACTTGGGTCTAGACTGTAACATCTCAACACCTAACAGATGTTTTGCTATGAATATATGTACTGACATTCATAGTCCTCAGAGGGTGAATATGGATGACTCCAACATTGGTGTTTTTTTGGTAAAATGCCACAACAGCTATTGGATAAATTGGCACAAAAGATGGGGTTTTTCCCCCAAAAATATAAATTGACTGTACATACATTTTCTCTATAAAGCCACCAGCCATTCAGAAGGAAATATTTCAATGTTGTTGTTATCACAAAATCCCCTCAGCCTCACTTTGTTTTAAGTGATAATTAGCTAATTTAAACATGCTAAATTAGGGTGAACATGACATATAGTATACCTACAATGAGATGCACCATTAGCTGTAGTTGAAAAAATTCAGATTAGAAGATTATTTGTATGCTTGTGTCTAGTACATATATTATTCTAGTTTAGATACACTGTAAATTATTGTTTTTCTTCAAATCTCTGGGCCACCTCTATCTTCCTCCCTCACATCCTCGAGGATGTAATTTGTACTTACTCTCGACCAAACCCAACACTCGCATGAGATGTGAAGACATTTTCAGTGAACTACTTCATGCAATTTATCTCTTTGTACGTGTATTGTATTGGTCTTGTTCTATTTAAATTGGATTTACTATATTCCACTGTTTCTATTATTTCTAAAATGTTCTCTTTAGTTTTTTGTAATTGCCTTTTGACCCAACTATGGCTCGTATTATATCCCAAGGGTGTCTCTATTTGTTTTCTCTGTTCCAGATTGAACACCATTTTTTTGTATTGTGCTCCTTAGTTTTAAAAGGGGGTGTTCGGTCTGTGTGGAGGTTGATGCTGTAGTGGACCTGTAAAGCTCATCACCCTTTAGGTTAATTTGTATGATACCTTTCTAAAAGTGTATTCCCTATTTTTCAGACGTTGTTGCTCTTAAAACTTCCTGGTTCCCAATTATATGAAATGCATGTCTGTTATTGTGGTATATACACATTACAGCTAAGGTTTTGTGCAGGTATAAGCTATATGGTAACAGACTGAGCTCAATGAAATGCTGGTTCCTCTACAGGAATAGACCTGATGTGACCTCTGCTTCTGTGTGGTGACGTTTCCCTTCTGACTTGTATTTCTCAGTGGAGTGGGAAGCCAGTGGAGGGTCCTCTCTAATTAAACCCACAGTCTCACGTCTGAGCAGGGCAGCCTGATGTTTATATTAACTCCCAGAGACACTTGGCTGCTCACACAGAAAACCTACAATACCCATATTTGGCCACACTGTCTGGACAAAGAACAGAGTTAGCCTTGATGTCTGTGTTTGTCTTTACAGCAGATGACTTTCATTCCAAAGTGAAGTTTGATAATGTAACCTCGTTAAATAACTTTGTTATATACGGTTTTAGATGCGCTTCATGTGAGAAGTTATCTCTTACATACTGCAGCTTGGCTGATTTTCCATCACCTTATATCTTCCTGCAAGATTTGGAAGCCAATTATCTCGCTCTTCTCTGGCAAATGTAACATTTTCAGCATGAGAGGTGTCAAAAAGTGAAGCGAAGAGGTGAGAAAAAAATGCCAGACACAAAATTAGCTGTTGCCTATGTGACAGATGAGAGCATCAGATTAGGCAAGTATACACCAATACAAATGTACAGGTGTTGAACTTCTGCAGACAGACCCTCTCATTAATTGGAATCAAGATAATTTGTTACCTCAGACTCAGATCCTCTCTTTCAGCTCATCCCCTGGGTGTGAGCTAGTTTGTGCGAGTCTGGAGTGAGTGCTAGCCAAAGAGGACGGGGTGAACGTTTTTTAATAACCGTCAAAATCTCAAGCCTTCTTTTTTTTCTATTCCCAGGCATACGGTGCTAAGACTGTGGGCGTTTTAATGGTTTTTACAAAGTGTCCATAATAAATTGCTGCATTTAACAATGTTTGCACAGCAAGTCTTATCTGACTAAAATGGAAGGAGTCTGGTTGTATGTACAGTATGGCTGTCCTTTTTTTTCTTGACAACCGTTCATGTGATTTACTTCATACTTGGAGGGTGTATTGTTGAGGATCAAGGGAAGTGCATTATTGAGTGTGAACCTGTTTGGATGAGCAGTTCTTGAGAAAGCACCAGTAATGAAGGCCTAGAAATTGGCCAGACAGGACCCTGCATTAGTGAAGGACAACTTCCGAGTTTTGCATGACTTCCAAGCAGGAAGTGAACAGTTTCTCCTAATCACTCTCCCTTTTTTTGTTCTTCCAATTGGTGTTTTTGAACCCGCTGAATACACACAGAAGCTTACAGATTAAAAAGCCCACATACAGACTTTCTCACTTCGCTTCTCCTCTGATTCACCAGGATCCCAATAGATGTGGACCCTCTGACCGTTCTCGCCTCATTGTCCCCCGAGGGCGTCCTCATCATCGAAGCTCGGCAGACGCCTCCATATTACCTCTTCAGCAACGAGGGCTCCCAAGGTGAAGAGGACCAGGAGGTGGAGGCACTCAAGCCCCAAGAGGCCCCCATGGTCTAAACCCCCAACTCCTCACTATCCTATCAAATCATCCTGCGCAATTGATGAATGAAATGAATGATGTGACCTATAGCTTCCTGTTGTTAAAATTCCAATGGGAAGGTATGTAAGGTAAATAGTTATGACCTGTTGTATGTCTTTATTAAAGCTGCACAAGACAAAAAGGTTATATATGCAAGCAGAGTAGTGAAGAGTCACCTCCCCCTACTGGCAGAGACGCTATAGATTTGCCACGGTGCAAGATTTCGGTGCACGATTTTGAAAGATATCTTCTGATTAAATCAGCGGTTGTTACTATAACTGTAATGCATCAGCTAAGACAATCCAGATCTACTGTTGTAAAAGTAAAAAAAAGAAAGTGTATCATGTTGTAAAACTGACTGAGACGTAACGTTAGGCAACACAACGTTATGGTCAGGATATGGAAAAGATTGTGGTTTCAGTTCAAATAACTGTAAAGTGAAACTTTACGTGACCATAAGGATAACAAAAATGAAACTCTGGGATTGAAGTCGGAAACAAAGAACATTCTCATACAACGTTCTGGACACATTTTAAAGATCACAAATGTTCAAACAGCTTATGGAGGAGCCATAGTGTGAACTTGTCTTGTGCAGCTTTAATATTATATATGGCTATATCCCGAGGTCATGAAATATCAGCTGGGCCACTTATACATTATAAGCCAAAGAATTCTCCCTTACCAGTAAGTATGTGTATCAAATTTGTATTTATGATTATTATTATCTTTGCATCAAACGTATTATATGTGATTTTGTTGGTCTGAAACTAATGTGCCTTTATTTACTGGAGTGCCTTGACTTTACAGTTGTTTATTTTTTGAGTTAATGAATGTCACTTAAACTGACAAGAAACGAAAGCAAGCTACCTTTTGTGGCTTCATTAAAGTGTGAATTGTGTGCATTCATACTGTATTCTACCAAAGAGTATTGTAAATATACTTCAACATGTGCCAATTCATTATAAATATGAATCTAAAGTGTTCCAGGTTTTTGCAATATGGTTTGCATTTTTTTTCTTTTCTATTTGAGCATTCAGGAAGATGGCTGCATGATTGTTGGAGCGGACAGACTCCCTTGTTTGCCAAAGACGTTTGTTTCCTGCCTTCTTCTCTGTCCATGTCTTTGTATCGGCTGACGCAATAAAACTGTCCAACCAATCTCCCAGCGTGTTATAACATCTGTGTCTTTTATTGAGAATCATGCCACTCACTGGTCTGGCACCATGGGAGCCTGTGGTGTTATTGTTGGATAACAGAAGGAATTGGGCAGCAGATTAGCGAAGGGCTTAGTGCAGGCTGAGATTGGCACTGGTGTTTTCAGAATGGGACGAACGCACAGAAGCAGCACCGCCAGAGCCTTTTATGCAAGTACAAAACAATTGGGGCAGTTGCTATGCATGTGTCATGTGATACAATATTTTTGTAATCTTCTCAGTGCATTGGAATCAGGAGGGGATTATCAGTTTGAAAAGTTTTTGAATTGAAAAAAAAACAAAGGGCCTCCACTATTTTGTCAGCACTACTGCGCTTCTTTTGTGTCATGAGCTCACTTTTACTGCTGTATTTGATGGTATTCGATAATGCACACACACTTGTGCTGCCGTGGCAACAGCATAATTGGGCAAGTTACTCGTGTAGAAGTGACTAATGCACAGCTGTGTTAATGTATAGTATCTGATTAATGTCAAAACCTTTTAGCTGAAACAGCATGCTAATGAACCACTTTTTCCATTTTAGCACCCACATTTATCCAGAGGTGGCTATAAATGTGATCACTTATTCATGAACGGTTGCAAGTTCACATGATCATTTCAAGATTAAGAGGAAGTAAATTCATGTATAAATAATGAGTGACGCCAACACAGTTTCTAACATGTTCACATGCTATTGCTTTATTGGAGCTCCAATGGAAGCATGGTTATGGCTATTAAATATTGTATCTAAAATGCATCTGACCTGGTGCAAGGTAAGCAGTGCAGGCTGTTTCTGTATGTTGGTGCAACATTTGGGGAAAACTTGTGTTTGTACTCAGTTTTCTTGTGTTATGTCGGGGACCTCCAACTCTTGGCTTGGGGCATCATTCGGTGGACTCTTGCCTAGCTCTTGCTCCTCATGGTGGGTGATGTCATCAGTAGTCTCCCCTGAGCCTGGCTGCATCTCTCCATCCCCTGCTGGTTCTTGGTGTTCTGTGTCTGGAATTTCTAGGATTTCCTGGGCTTCATTGTGCTCAGAAGACACTTGGAAATGATCTGTGCCTTCGCCATCTACAGGCGCTGATGGGTGGGACTCTCCAGCTGGCTTTTCAAGGGTCTCCTCCTCCTGGTCCCTCCTCTCTTCAAGCCCAGCTGTGGTGCTGCCAGTGTGGGCCTGATCTCCATGGACCTCTAGTGGAGACTCTTCCCCGTCATCCTCTGCAGATGGCAGACATGGGGCCTCTGGGGCTCTGCAGCTACCTGGGTCTGTATCAGGGGCTTCTTCTTTCTCCTGTTCCTCTCCAGTCGCCTCCACCTCCACCTGTATTGTACATACATACATATTTGGAAAATGTTGCTCGACTGTACCCATTTCCTCACTGCCAATGCACAAGTTGAAACTCAAGAGGGATATTGAAACAACATTGATCATCATGCTCATTTTCAGGTTCAAAAATTGATTTCAGGTGTGTGTGAATGGGTGTTATGACAGGCCACCTTCAAAACAATGTTACATTTTTTTAATGTGTTTTTTTGCTAAGCATTGGATGCAAAAGGTTGACAACAGTGTTTTTTGTGTCTGGTAAAGTGACTAAGACTACAGCCAGCAGCACATTTGCTTAGAAATTACCAGCCTGGCTCCTTCAAATGATGACTAAAATATCCTTCCATCACTTCAAAATATCACTAATTAACTATTTCTTCATATTTAAATAAACACCGTAGTTTGTATCACCTTTATGATGATGGCAGCAGGAATTGAGTTCTCGGAAACCGGTGCTTCTACAGTCAGGATACCATCAGCAGAAAGAGTGGAGACGATTTTGGTTGCATCAAGGTCTTCGGGGAGCCTGAACAAAGACAGGATCCTGTTAACAATATATCTACATAAAAGTGCCAGTATTTAAATAGTCAAATTGATGTACGTAATATCATGTTTCATTCCAGTGAGCATTTTAGGGATTGGAAAAGGCTTAACTGTGGGTACATAATTGTCAAAAGGTTAACAACGGTGTTTACTTTGCATACAGTACCTGTATTTCCTTGTAAAACATCTGGCAATAAATCCATGCTCATCTGGCCTCTCCTCGTGTTTCCCTGGGGATGGATTACCATTTATGGGGAATCAAACCACACAGAGAAACCACTCAACATACAAATTAATTTCTGCCACAGAGCTTTGATTTCCCAGAGCACATTATTCAAGCAGCTTTCTAATTGTGTTACAGTCAGCTTCCTTTCCATTAGTCTTTAGTTTTAAGGGGTTTATCCTGTGAACCTTGAGTCTAATTAGATAACAGTTAGTCTTAGAGATAATATTAGATAGATTTGTTTTGGTTTTACTTTATTATGAGCAGAAACAATCCTGTATGTAAAAGTGAATAACACTGCCAAGTGAACTTACAGAGCTGTTTAAATAACAGGTTTGTTTAACGTACCTCTGACCTCCAGGAATCCGTCGCTGATGCTGACAAAAATGTCTGACGGAAAGAAGTGAGCCACTTCCAGGTTGACCCTCCACTTGTACTGCTCCTCACTAATCTTCTGGCCGGAGTGATACATCGACGCAGAGATGTAGGGCACAAACAGCGGAGGGGGAATGTACCCTGGCCAGGAGCAGGCTGCCAGACTCCTCTGGAGCCGGTCCACATCCCTCCATCGAGGGTCCCCTGGCTCCAGGAACGGTGGCAGGCCAAGATCCTGATTGAAAAGCCTGCTGGACTGCCACCATTTTCTCAGGGGGTACCAACACACTCCCCTGTTGGACTCCTCGTTTGACAGCTCTGTTTTAGCTTGTTGGCTCATTTTCTAAATATTAAATGGGACAAAATCTATTGAGATTGTAAAAAAAAAATGCCAGCCCTTTGTAAAGACTGAACTCAGCGAGTAACTTTTGGACTCTCCGCGTTGACTTGTTGAAATTTCAGCAATTAAAAACTCCTTAATGAGAGAAAGAATGATAAAGGAAAGCTAAGGGTGGTGAGATGGAGAAATCTCTGAGGGCCGTTATATATACTGCTCCTGTCTGTTTTAGCACTTATTAAGCACTCATTCCGATCCCATGAGAAGGGTGTGTGGGCATGGGGTGATGGGTGTGGAGGGGAGGCCATTACCTCTTGCAGGCCTGAAAAAGGCGGCAGACTAATTAGTTGTATTTATAACTTTTAAGGGAGCCATGGCAAATAGCGAGCAGTTGGCTGGAGGCAAGTTTGTGTGTCTGTTGCATCTGTTGCCTGAAGACAGTTCTTCTCACATCCCAGTGAAATCCTCAGTGCTGTCATGAACCGGTGAGAGTTTATCTTGCCTGTGTTTCACCCCTGAAAGGACTCAAGCTGGCATTGGGTTGTCTGGAGCATGAGATGGTGGATTCTGAGGGGACCCCAAATTGTCTTTTTACTGTTATCCAAAAACATTTCTGTAGCATGCGTGTGTATTGAGTTTACAAAGCTCCCTTTCACTCCATTTTTCTTATGCTCTGCAGTTTCAACAGGATTATTATTGTCCCCTCTTTTATCAAGTGTGAAAGACTTGTCACTGTTTCATTTTTAGAGCTGTGTGCCCTGAGATCTTGGCGTATTGTACACTGGAGCACCAAACAGATTGAACAGATGTTTCTGACACTTTGTGTGATGCTTCACCCACAGATTCTGTCTGTAGGATATGCTCAGAGGTTAAATTGGGCTTCGCTGCTGCTGCTGCTGCTGCTGCTGCTCCTGATGCAGCTGCTGGAGTCGCCTGAAAAATGGGTCCCTCTGTTGCAACGATCAATAGAGACTTCCATCCTGTTCACATTAAAAGGCACATAATGCCCACGGTGCACCAAGATGTTCATGCTACTCTTCAAAAAGACTAATACAATATTTTGAGTGTAAAACTTTTTGTGTGGGATTATTGTACACCATTAATAGACTATTCGGAAATATTTAGTTTTTTTTCTCAAATATATCTCAACCATAGTTGGCCAGATTAAATAAGTAGAAGACAGAAATGTAGGGTAAAGTTCTTCCAAATGTATACAAATGTTGTCGGTCAGGCAACTGATTTTTCATTATGTCATTTACTTCCTGTATACATAAATGTCACCATTTGATGCACTGTACCAGAAATTATCCTGTTTTCCATCACCTATTTTGTTCTTGGTCTGTGTACCTAATATTGTTGATAAGGTGATTAGAGTGTATTTTCCAAATTAGCAGGTTGAGAGTGTTCAAGGTCCATCTAAGTGCTGCATGGACTAAAATGTTACTGAACAGATGGAGCATGAAAAGTTAGATTAATAGACTGAGAGGAAATTAATTATTGATTTTGCAACATTATCTTGATTAATTAATTTGGATTGATTGCATGAAGTCTCACACAGAGCTGGGATTTTGACAAAGCCAGTTATCAAAAAAGCTTTGGCTCACTTCAGTCAGTATCAATAAAGTCACAATGGTGGGTTAGTAGCATGATAGCATCTATAATCTCACTACAAATATAAGGAAAATGTATGACACTCAGTTTTGGGGTCCGTATTGTGCGTGCTGGTTTACTGTCACATATTGGCTTACTTGGAAACTTGACGAGAACAGAGCCATCGTTAATCTCATTAGTAACACCTGTGCTTTTTCACTATGGCCTTAATTAGGCTTTTGATGGTAGAAAACAACACAGACAATTAATCACATTAAAAGCAATCCATATAGGTGTGTCCTGTAGGCCTACTCAGGGTCTTGCCTACTGTCTTTTTGGGGAGGCTTACTAAGACTCTTAATGGAACACAGACATCATAAATGTTATAAATTGCTTTTCCTGCAGCGATAAAATAAACTCTGCTGTGAAAAAAAGGATTCTAACTCAAATAAACTCATTGTTGATGATATAATAATTATCACCTCGCTCTTCATTTGACGGGGTGTCATGTTTGTGTCGGTTATAACATGCTGGAAATGGTTGCTGCCAATGCATTTATTTTTACTATATTTTGAACTTAATTGGTTCAAAATATAGAAAACGCCTGAATCTGAAATGTCGAGTTTTGTGGTAGCCTACTATAAAAACAATATGTTGCCATAGAAATGTCAAGTGTGTCATTGGAAACAGCTCAAATAAAGCTATCAGGTAGTGCACTTGGCTGCCTTACCAGTCAGATTTTCGTTCACATGTTAGAATCTCAAGTGGTTTCAGTCACATTATAGTAAGCTGTTCAGAGTAGAACACCAACCTTCTAGCTTCATTTTTGTGCAATGTGGATATAGGGCTTTAAAAATGCAGTGTCCACATAGCCTACTTTTGGCCACATTGTAACGTTTACTTCCTATGGGCTGAGCTTCATTTGTCGTAACTATGGGAAACGGAGGTCGCAGGGCAAACCGCATGGACCAGAAGTTGGTGAAATGTTTGTAGCCTACCCTTTAACTCCGTGTATTTGCTCCAGTGATTAGCCACCATTTTCATGCAATTGTAATTGTACACATTTATCATGATACATCGATATTACACGCCAGACCTACGTTGTTTGGGAACGGTAAAGTATGTCCCGCTGTGTGACCGTCCTCCGTGGAGCGGTTCCTCGCGTCCGGGGCGGACAGAGCCAGACTCCCGGGAGACGTGTGGCCGCCGACAGCTGCAGTTGAGCGGGCAGGGCTGGCCGGAAGATCCCTGGAGACAGAGTGGGGTTACCAGACTTTCCTCACACCTGGAAACCAAATCATTGATCCAGGACAATGTGGTAGAACAACATGAGGTAATTTAAGGCCTATTTCATTATTATCCCAAATAAATTGCTTGGTGTCAGTTTCAGTCACATTCACAAATTTGTTTTGTCTGTGTATAAATATCTTCTCTCAGATTACTTCTCCCACACCCTGTAAACACATCATCAGAAAATCATTTTGATGCTTTGAATCAGGATTAACTTCAAAGATGGCTGGTAGTTTATTCATCTCACCCAAATTAAAAACAGCACATTTGAAGAAACCCAAACCCTCTTTTCTCTTCTCTTTCTTCCGTTTCTCTCTTTTCTCTTCTCTCTCTCCTCTCTCCTCTCTCTCTCTCTCTCTCTCTCTCTCTCTCTCTCTCTCTCTCTCTCTCTCTCTCTCTCTCTCTCTCTCTCTAGTTTTTTTAAAACAATCTTTGATTTAAAAAATCCCATCAGGCAGCTGCTAAAGATCAGTGGTCTTCATGGTCCCTCTTGCTTTTCCTCCTTTGAACTGCTATTTTCCCTCTCAAGTGATATTAATATGTCTTTGTGTATGTAGGCCTGTGTGTGATTCCTTTCGATTCATAGCACCAGTTCCATCTTTTATTCATCAGTTACACCAGCCGCCTACTCCGGGCTACACAGGAGTCCCAGCCGATACCAGTTTCTTAATTTTGTAAAACCACATTTTCTAGCCTAGATGAAAACAATCGGACTTGCAATCAAAGGAAGGGAACCACTCATGCCATGACCCAGTCTCCTTTAACTGTCTTCAGTGCAATTTCAGTTGGAGACAATCTCAGATATGATTTGATCTGATCCCCCAAAGCCAGTTTCCACTAATAAATGCATTTGAAGTAAGACCTCTTCAATTCTATGATGATTGCATCCACCAATGTGCTGGGGAGGGCTCAGCAGAGTCCAGTGCAGCGACTCAGATCCATGGGATATTAGCAGCTAATGCATCAAGCGGGATGAAATGTCAAATGGCTGGTTTGTTCCTGTGGACAATGCATTCATCATAGTTACTGTGAGTCTGGCTCAGTTGCTGAGGCCAGCCTGCATGGTGCATATCAGAACTGACACATCAGAATGGAGTGGCTATGGAAATATATTTTTGAAAAGTTGTTTTATACGTTTTTGCAGCCAGCAAAGAGTCAGAAATAATTTGGAATGATGCTTCAAACTTGATCTAGCATACATTGATTCTATCAGTAGATGGAATGTATTTGTTGAATTGGTTTAGCCATGCCGGTTGCCAATCCATTGCCGCTATGACTGTGGGGAACAAGAGTAAGCTGGTATAGACTGTAAATCAACAAGGAGGGAGAACAAGGCAATCTCTGTTATTGTATTTGCAATGCGTTTGATTCACCTCCCTGTGGTACTGTTAAGACAAATTGTTTAGTTTGTTACTCCTCGGTGTTGATGGAAATACACAGGCTGGCCAACAGAAGGAGTTTTTATTTATTTAATTTTTTTTACAAGTCTTTTTATTTCATTATAGTGTACAATAATCGATGCCATTTCACAGTACACTCACAACACTCCCCACTCCCTCCCTCCACCCGCACACGCCCACACAGGCCAAACCAAAACATGCTTATCAAGATAACTTAAACAACAGAGCCATGAAAATAAACATAGAAAGGAAAAGAAAAAGAAAAACATCAAAGTAAAACAAACAAATAATACAATACAGCGACAACACCACAACTACTATTTCCGGCCATCAGGACTAATAGCCATAGAATGCACCATTCCATCACTGGTCATATCTCAGATATATTTTCCAAGTGAGAAAACAATGGCAACCACAGAGCTTGAAAAACATGTCCACGATTATATTTTTCCAATGTCATTTTCTCCAGAGGTAAAAAATATATTATCTGATCAATGAAAAGTTTAAATGTTGGGGGACGTTCATTCTTCCAGAATAAAAGTATACATTTCTTGGCAAAATATGTTATTGTGATTGGTATTCTGTAATGTTTGGGGTTCAGTTTAAAGTTTGGCATGTCATTTAACAGGAACAAACATGGATTTAGGCTCATTTCGATGCCTAAAACGGCTTTTGTGAGCGCATGAATCGAATCCCAGAAATGTTTCAAGAGATCACAATCCCAAAACAGATGCATGAATGTTCCTTCTTTTATTTTACATCTCGGACATTTTGGAGAGTTTTCTTTGGAAATTGTATGCATCTTTATGGGTGAGAGGTGACATGTGTTGATACATTTAAAGTTTGCTTCTTTGATTTTATTGCTTGTGAATGGAAAACGTGTTCTTTCACAAATATTGAGCCAATTAGTTTCATCTCTCTGCATCCCTAAGTCCTTTTCCCAGATATTTTCTAAAGTTAGAAAGGATGACTGAGCTCTTTTAGGAGTTTTTCTGATTCACTTTTGTATGGGAACATGCATTATCTGTTTGCATTCACATACAGCATCATAGGCTGAGGTCTCTATTATCTGTGTCCAAATAGCAGAGAGAGAACAACAGTGACTCAACAGTATAACTCAAAAGAGATGTGCAGCAAATGAGCTCATCCATCAGCAGAAGCGTGTGTGGACAAGGGGATGATGAGGGTGAGGAGGAAGATGAAGAAAGACGGTGGGGCGGAGCAGGGGGCTGTGAAATATGACAGCCGTGGCATTTCCATGCTCTCCGGCACCTGCTTTTGTCCTTTGGATGTTGCTGCTTGAAGACCTGAGCTCGGCCTGGTCTTTGTCGAGTCCACCTGAAGCTTTGCCATTACTCTGAAGAAAGTCATGACATTTAGAGGAGTCACATTTTTACCTGCTTTAACCACCAGCGAGTCAGCGTTTACTCCCTGGAACAGATTGTGTTGTATCTCTGTTATGCTGTTCCAACCTCTCAATGAAGACATGTCATATTAAAAGGGAGTGAAATATTCAAACGCAAGACATATTAGCATGGTGGTGCCATAATTAAATATATTCAAGAATGCTTGTGCACATTTAACCCAAATTGCAGCCAAATATATTTCCTATTTTTAGAAAGTTTGGGATCGCCCTGGAATAAAAATATAAGTGCTCTGTGAGTTTAAAAAGAGCTTAACTGAACCTAATTATTTTTGTCCCAACTGACCTACGAGGGGCTCGGTGAAGTTAAACAGGTTAATTGTGCATGGCTACTAACTTACAAGGCCTTTGAAGATGAAGAAGACGCAAGATTGATCTGGAACAACAGATGGCTGGCCTTTAAGTCATTGATCTGTGGTCAGAGTTTAAGAGGTGGCTTGATTGTGATTGGTGTACTAGATGTCATCAGTCAGAAATACTTTCGTGGGTAGGCATTTTTAGTAACGTTGTAATAGCCAGATGCTGCAAAGACATAAACATTTAACTTTAATTGCAAATTAGGAACACTTAGGCCTATAGGGTAATTTGTGTTTAAAAAAACAAGCTTGACTTCTAGATTCAGGCTCACTCCCAATTCATGTACTGAATGTGTCAAGCGACTCAAGCCATACCATTTTAATAGCCCATATGTGGACCACGATGATGGCAGTTTTAGCTCTCAATATTATAGTCATTTTTTATAAGATTTGGTTCTTCATAAAAAGGTAGACAAAAAAAGTTTTTAGTCTAGCTAAGTGTCTTAGTCTTAGTCTTAGCTAGACTTAGAGAGTCTAGCTGCTAGAGCTAGCTAGCAATGTAAGCTAGCATTAGCTCTGCAAATGAGTTGATACGCAGTCTCCGGCTGACTCTTTAAGTTTCAGCTTAATGGTTTTAAAACAGTCTTGTAAATGAAGTCTTCAATATGTACTCGATTGATATAAAGGCCTACACTATACCAGGCTAAAAGACTGCAAAGCTGGGTGTCAAAAATTTAGCATTGTCATTTCTCGCCAGGTGATCTGTGTAGAAGACAAAACATACAGTACATTTCTGTTCTTTTTTGCAAGTAAAGAGAACATTGAAAATGAAGAATGTTAATAATGAACATCTAGTCCAAGCCAATGCCTCCCTGCATTCTTTTTGATGATCTATTCATCTACAGATGACCTACCATAGATAGTCCACTAAGCCATTAACAGCAACCCTCCAGATTCCACAGGAGGAAGTAAGGTGACTGATAATCTTCGAGCCCACATTTATACTCCGTACACACCCTCATCCAATTTAAATAGTTGAAAACATCAGTTTATCTTACAGAAGGAGTTTTTTTACCCTTTGCAGTTAATTATGTAAAGATTAATTGCCTGATTAACTGTCATTTCCAAAAGCGATGTCATATTAGAGACACAATCTTTACTCCTGGCCTTCTGCCCAATTTGCAGAGGTCACATGGGGATGCAGCAGAGTCTTTCATGGGTGAAAAAGTGCTCTGAGCTCCAGAGCTACTCTTACGAAAAAAAAGATAATAGCTGGCTGCTAGTCCTTTTGTTTTTACGTCTTTGTTTTTGTGCACTTTCTTTTCCAGAGATGGCCAGTTTGTCCTACGCAGGCTGGAAAGAGAGCTGATATCGTTTCCCTGAGGAAGCATCTGGGCCACACCAGGTGAGAGTTACATCTGTGAGTGATAAGCAAATATGGAACAAATGACCTCTTCTGTTGATACAAATATGTGGTGTCTAGCTGAGTTTTCCTGGGGGATGACTGCAAAAGCAGCAAATGGAAAACTTTACATTTAAAAATAACATACCTCTTAAAAAAAGGTTTCAGTGTGTGTCCTGCAGGGGAGGAGTCCTGGCAATGAAAAAGCGCTGGCATTTAGTCCGATGTGTGTGTGTGTATTTGTGTGTGCAACCCACCACCCCAGAGACAACATCCTCTGGGGGCTCCAAGGGTACTTCCAACCTGACATTTCTGACGGCCTCTGATAGAGCCTAGAGTGTTGAATTATTCATACAGGTGTTATGGGGAAAGGTTGCCATTTTCACAGGAGATAGCAACCCCCAGATGAATTGTGGCAGTTTGTCCCTGCATGTGAATAAAGTACTAATGATTTGGGTCTGTGATGCCTTTAAGGACATATGGCATCCCATTTTACTTTCAGCTCTCATGCCTAAAGCCTGTACGTCTCAATGCTCTTCTGGCAATCTTACTTTGTTTTCAGCTCGGACAGGTGGAAACATTTGACACAGAGTGGTCTGTTTTTTAGCACTCAATATTTCATTTTGATGAACTAAAATCATGAAATATGACTATCAACATTGTCTCTTCTATAATAATAATAATAATGGGTTCCATTTATAAAGCACTTCATATTTGATTTCAAATCCCGAAGTGCTACAAGTAGTGAGCATGAACAGTATAAATAAACATTACACAACACGGTAGAATGAATAAAAAGCAATACAAAAATAATTTAAAAAAAACAAAACAGTAATGGCACTAAAGGGTCAGTTCAACCTAAGAACAAAAAATAAATTGTGTCCCCTTTTAGTGTGTTTAGCTAAGGAAGAAACTAATGATCTTAAGAGTTACTGGTGTTTTTTTTTAACTTTATACCTCTTTTTCACCAAAATTAGCACTTTCTGTTCAGCTTTTTGAAACACAGGAAAATCATCGATGAAGATCGAGAATCAGAGCTTTAGTGTTTTAAGTGAAGGCTACGATATACTTAATAATTAGATATGAGAATAGTTTTGATGATCTACTCCAACTCTCTGCAAGAAAGCAAGTGGACGTAGTTTCAATATTCAAACAAAGTAATTAACAGTGAACAACTTGTCTTGCTGTCACAGCTCTATTATTGAATTCTATTTACTCTTTAAGCTATACAGCTCACACAAACCATACGCAACTAATACGATTATCAAATATGGGTTTAGTATCAGTTTTGTTTGACATGGATGTTTGACAGACAATACTTTTTGTTTGCTGGCTGGCAGGTTATAAGCTACAGATCAGAGCCACATGAATACATTGGATGCTGACAGCTGATTAAGGGGATTCAGGGGATAGCAGGTTCGAGTCCCACTGCAGTCAGCATGTCGTTGTGTCCCTGGGCAAGACACTTCACCTCAAATTTCTCCTGTGGGGATTGCTCCACTATACTGAATGTATGTAAATTGCTTTGGATTAAAGCATCTAACAAATGACATGTAATGTAGCACATGGATCTGCTTGGAAAGAAACACTAATATATAATTTTGTTTACTGTATAAGACCTTTAAAGGTAGACTGTTAAACCATCAGTTCACAAGGTTTATTTAATCCCTAGAAACAATAATAGTACATTAAGTGCGGTCTGCAAACAAAGTTTTAAAGAGGAGGATTTGATCATAACTTCTCTGAGAGGTGGTATAAGTATGATAACACTTTGTGACATCCAGATAGAACATAATGTATCCTGACAAGGGAAAATAATTCCCATTTTTAGAATCTTCATTAATTCCATTCATGTCAAAAGGAGTAAGGATGAGTGGTGTGGAAAAAAAGCATTGGAGCTCTTTGACTTAAGGGCCAGCTGTAGCTCAGGAGTTTGAGCATGTCATCCACCAATATGAAAATATTGACATGCTGATCCCGTCTCTATATACATGCAATCCATTAACATGTATAGACAGAATTCTGAAAAAAATATCACTATCCTCAGATTAAAAACACAGAAATATCAGAAAAACTGGTTGAGGGTGTCTAATAATGTATTGCAAATGGCCCTAATCCTCCGTAGGACGAGGATTTGTCACATAATGGAGGTAATCCCAAAAACACATACGCAACTGTAATAATTGTCTCCTTTTGAAGATGAGGTGGAAATTAGGACACATTTAAAGATTTTGCACCACAGCTGTCATGTTATTTACAGGATGTCTAAGGACATTTGTGCATCTTGCTAATGCTTTCATGGCTTTAACCAGTCCTTATGCATGCATTGAGTCATTTCTGTCACAATATGGAGGTGAACTTTGGTTCTCCTTGAAATTGTCTGATGTGAAAATAACATCAGGGTCCAGTTTGATTTCTTATTTCTTGCCGTTTCTTTCCTGTTCTGTTTCAGTAGACGCTACAAAGCTTAATCAGCGTTTTTGCTCGTACCCTTGCCTGTGGCAGTCTGTCACGTATGACTGTGCCATCTTGTGTTGTCGTGGCCTGCCATTTGTCTCTGGCGATGTTGACACAAAACATCCCACGCTGTCTTGTCAACACTGCTGCGAATCCTGTTTCTCAACACGTTGCAGATGACAGATAATACCTTCCAAGAAGTAGCATTCTTCTGCTAGACTTATAATTAGGATTTAATTATGAAATGTGTTTGAAATTCCTTAATGTCATGCTGCAGTCGCTTGTGCATTATACCCTGTGAAATCCAGGCTTGAATCATAACTCATGCTTCAAAAATGCACCTGTGCGATTATGATACACGGACATCTTAGTTGGTCTAATCACTGTAAGGATTCCTAACCTACCACAAACCCTATCTCTTTTTGTTGCCTGGCAACAAGCTGCCATCCAAAAAAACACCCCCCCCCTCTACCAACACCCTCCCTCAATGCACAAATGTGGACATTTTTTAAATCAATTTTTAACCACCGTTCAAGACTCCGTTCCAAGCGCCGTAGTCTTTAATGAGCTTTTCAAGCCAGCCTCTGATTTGTGGTCATGATTCCCTCTCACAAAAGAAGAACAACTTGTTATTGACTGGGAAGACAGACGGTGGTGATGAGAAAAGGCATAATGGGGTTTCACTTCAGAGCTTCTTGGCTTTCAAATACAAAAGTTTCATTGTGTGTTTGCGTATTGATGATACACTGCTTCTCCTCCATGCCTTTTATATGCTGCAGCCTTCCATTGACTCGGCAGCTTTATTCTCTCTGCTGCTTTCCCTCTCGCCCCCTGTCTTCCCCTTTAGCACATTATTGTTTAGCTTTCATGTTACATTCAGGCTTAGCCGGTGCTGTTGCACAAACATTTGTTTATGTGGTGCATCAAACACAATCAAAAAGACACCCACTAGCCTGCCATTAAGAATATATTAATCAATTTTAAAAAACAACCTTATATGAACTAAAGTGAAAGAGCCACTTAAGTACAGAGTGCTAACAAAATGAGTCACGTCTGAGGCAAGGTCACCAAGCAACCTCCCACTCTATTGGCAGCCGGCAGCTACTCTGGGGAAAAACTTGTTTGCACATTTGAAGCTACGAGTCATTAGCGATGCTGATAGAAACACACTTTAATTAAGACTGCTGCATTTTGGACTTAGATGTCACATCTGAAGATGAATAAGTAATATCAGGGGTGTGGTGGTATGCAAATAGAACAGACATGCCTCCGAGCTAAACTGGTGCACTCTGTGTATCGCCAAACTGAGCCAAATTAGCATGCTGCAGTACAAGTGCTCTGTGCCCCCCTCCTAGGCTGAAGTGCTTGGCTCTACTTGTGGGAAAAATATTACCAGCCAGCTGCTCGCTAGATAACAAATAAGAACTGGAGTAGAAGAGGATATGCAGACATATGTGCCGTTTGTGCTTTATCCTCGCACAAATTCCACTTGGCCTTTAACAGAAAGGTTACGAGAGTAACTATGGTCACCGTGGCTCAGACCCCTCACTCTACTACTTTTGCAAAACTTTGTATTTTGTAACCTTCATTCTTGTTTCATATATTGATTTAGTAGATACTGGGTTCCAATACGTATGTGCCTACTGCAATACACTCAAGATGTTGTTCCTGCTTGAGCTTCTGCATTTTCAGGCTCTTAGACCAAGAGGACTAGAGACAGTTAAAGGCTCACTCAACTTGCATACATCTTTTCAAATACGTCTCTAATACAATGGTGGGAAAATGCTTCTTAGGCTGCAAAGATTTTTTCATTGCATTATTGCAAATGGCCACTGAAACACATTTGCAGCCAAGCTTAATGGAAGTTAAAGGTTCCCTATTATGCTTTTTGGGGTTGTCCTTCCCTGCAGTGTGTTGTATAGGTTTGTGTGCATGTAAATGGCCTGCAAAGGCAAAAATCCCCTCCAACACATTGCACATGATAGGCTAAGGGGCCGGACATCTCTAAGTGTTTGACCAATCACAACAGAGCCGTCAAACTAACCAATCAGAGCAGACTGGGCTCTGGTTTCAGACAGAGGGTGAAAAAAGGTGCTAGAGCACAGGCAGTATGATTACAAAAATAAAGACCTTAAAGCATGTTAACGTGTCCCAATAAAGGCACAGGATATAAATATGGAACTTGAACATTAGCATAATAGGGCCCCTATAAAACAAGGGAGAAACACAGGGTCAGAGAATGGGGTTTAACACGTAACTGAACCTGCGATGCAAGATAAAATATGCTAAAAATAAAGGATTGGTGCTGTCTGACAGTCGTAACTGTTTGGGTACTCTTGAATTGATGAAAGCTGATACCCAATAGAATGCTTTCAATTTGAAAGCATTGGTTTAAGCCAATATATCTCAGTATGTATCAAGTAAACTCTGTGAACTTCACTTCAGACTATAGTATGAGTTAACTCTGTGTAACTCATTATAAGATATATACAAAGAAGTATACATATGAATTAGGGCCGGGACTTTAACGCGTTAATTAAGATTAATTAATTACACAAAAATTAACGCGTTAAAAAAATTAACGCATTTTAATCGCACTTATTTTTGCACCGCGGAACGTTTCTCACTGGATGAGTTTCAGGCGTACCGATTATACTGGAGCACCAACTAACGTTCATGACTTCAGACAACAACAAACCACAGTGAACAACAGTGGGAAATGTTGTTTTAAAAAACGGACGGATGGAAGCGTCGATAAGAGCACGGTTGTGTGCAAATTATGCAAAAAGGAATTCGCATATCACCGCAGCACATCAAGCCTCAAGTATCACCTCAATGCAAAACATATAGCAGCTAGCGTGGAAGCTAGCGTGGACGTTAGCCTCTTTTATCGCGTTCACACCAAAAAGAACCGGTACTAAAATTAGTTCACCCCACGAAAGTCCCTGCTAGAGAGCAGGGACTTTCGTACGGCTCTCTTGTGAGAAGAGAGCTATATGTCTGATTGGCTGGGCGGATTGCAAACCACGCCCCGTAAAACTCCCAAAAAGTTTTGTGAAGCCGCCATTGTCGCCATATCCTCGCATTAGCATTATTAGCATTAGCCCAGCGCAGAAACGCAGAGAGACTAACTTATGGCAACACAAAATAAAACATGGGAGCGGTGGAGATGAGGAGGTGTCGGCGTTCTGGCGATTTACTCGGAAGGCTTCAGTAGAAGCTGCTGGGACTCCCAGCAGCTTCTACTGAAGCCAGTCCCCAACTCCGGGGACTTCCGGCCGGGGACTTTGGGCGGCAGTATACGCCGTGAAGTGGTTTGCGGCCTGCCAGTAAACCCAAAGCAGAAGAAGAAGAAGTGACGTCAGCGGCTTCATTTGCCTAATCCTCCCCCAGGTTCAAAGAGTTCTCATGAACCTTTGTGGGAAAAGTACTGCGGTGTGAATGCGCCTAATGGTATACTAAAATCCATGTGAAAAAAATTGCTTCTCACTGTTCTCAGGTCAAATATTTATATGTGATTAAAAATGCGATTAATTTCGATTAATTAATTACAAAGCCTCTAATTAATTAGATTAATTTTTTTAATCGAGTCCCGGCCCTAATATGAATATACTATACCTATGTTTGCACTGCAGATACTGTACAGTATGTGTCTTTTTGCATGTTGTAGTAGCATGATGAGCAAAAACCCACACAAATTACCAATTCATCACAACATTGTTCACATGTTACCTTTTTAAAGGGGCTCGCACTGTTATAGTTTTCTAATTACAGTTGGCTGGAAATGACAATTTCATTGAAACTACATAAACATTCATATTTAATTATGACCTATTCTGTAGAATTTGGTTTTATTATTACACTATGTAAAACGAACCAGAGCCTTTTTTAAATTGTAAATCACATCCCTGTAACATCCCTTTGAATCTCAGTTGATTCAAACAATAAAACATCGTACTCCCATCTTAACTCTCCACTCCAGCTCAGCACAGAGAGCTTCGTCGCAGAGTGAACTTTGACCTGGTTTTCCTCTGCCTCCTTCACTCACTAGTGTGTGTTAGTGTGTTAGCTCAGCCGCTCCACTGACAAAGCCATCACGACAGTTGCTTCTAAGCAGCCTCTTTTCATTTTCCACTGCAGCATTAATGCAAAGGTAATTACGCGTGCAGCATGAGAAAAACAAGCAAACAGTATTTGAGGAAAGGTTATGGTTGAAAGCTAAACCTCTATAATTAAGTCATTAATCTGGCCAGACGTAACACGTTTCTCCCATAATGCTCTAGTTAGGCATCATTTGTGCCTGCAGCTTTGGTGTGCTCTGATTTGCATGATTTACAGTGCACTTTGTGTATGTGTGTGCACGTGCGTACATGCATGCTCGATGGATGTGAGGGATTATTGTAAAGTCACGTGAGCACGTCTGACACACACTCTGACACACTCATGGGCTGTGATGGTTTTTTGTCTGACAGGATATTAATGTGTGGGACTGGCATTTGTTCTCTCTGCAATTTTATCTGTCATTTTGATTTCTGGAAAGTGAACATTTATCATCATTAAAGCGTGACGGTGCTGCCCTGTATTTATGACTCCCGCTCCTGTCTCCATGCTTTGCAGGCGTTTGGCGTCGGCAATTAAGCGAGGCCAAAGCTACTTCCACCTCCTGCAGAAAGAGGAGCAGGAGAAGCAGGAGGAAGAGGAGAGGCAGCGGATGAGGAGGGAGGAGCAGCTGAGAACAGAGCCACGACCTCCCAGTTTCTCCTCCGACAGCGATTCAGAGGGGTGAGCTCACATCAGCTCAGTGTATTTTCATATTTCTTGCAGTGTCACTCATTGGCGCAGTCTATCTCTTTTTAGACCACCTTAGCTGCACTAACAATGTGTCAAATGACAAAATAAATGTGCTCCTTATGACAATCAAGTTTAAAGGGGCTCTATTATGCTCATTTTCAGGTTCATATGTGTATGTTGTGCCTCTACTGTGAAATGCTTCCATGCTTTAATGTTCAAAAAGCTCTTTGTTTCTCTCACACTGCCTGTGCTGCAGCACCTCTTTTCACCCTCTGTCTGAAACCAGAGCCCAGTCTGCTCTCATTGGTTAGCTGGCTGGCTCTGTTGTGATTGGTCAACTGCTTAGAAATCTCCCATCCCTTAGCCTATCACGTACAAAATGTTTTTGCGCTAGCCAATAGAAGCGCAAGTTTAACATAGTGATCAGTATTTTACAGAATGAAACAAAGGAATTTAATGGAGGCATTTCAGGCAGGGTGGGAGAGAAACTCCCTCTGGAGGGAACTTTGGGATTTTAACCTTTGCAGACCATTTACAAGCACAGAAATCTATATAGCACATGAAAGGGAAACCCCCAAAAAGCATAATAGGGCTTCTTTGACCAAATCACGCCTCACATGTTTTGTAGCCATATATGAACTTCATTGGAGATTTATACAGTCCAATTATGATCTCCTATTATCATGGTCAGATATAGATTATAAAAAAGATGTGTTTCAAGATCCAAGTTCTTTATTACCATATGCACAACAACTACTTGAAGCTGAACAGTAGTATTGCAAATGAATAAACTAGGTTAAACAGGAATAGATTTAACTTCATAATGAAAGGTAACGCACATATATATCCAGAGATGTCAACAGGAATGAAATGCTAATATAGCTAATGTATATCAGTAAAGGCTAATTGAAGTCATCCTTAGTTGATGGTACCAGTTTAAAATAACTCGTCACATCAGTCGCATGTCTGCTGCGTTCAGGTGGCCTCTGCCTACAGAATCCTGCTGTTCAGGTGTGACTGTAGCGTGGCCGCGCAGGAAGAAGATCCAGTCAGCGCGACCTTTCACCCCCCTCCATCACTCTCTCAGCTCCCCTCTGCTGAGTGAAGCACCGAGGTAAGGTTTACTGTTCACTGCACGGCCTGTTTACTTAACCAAGATGGTGGCCTTTATATGAGATGCATATATGTGTGAGTGTGTTATTCTACTTAAGGTTAGAAGCTGCCCGAGCAGTTTAAGAGCAGCACCACACACATAGTAAAAAGAGACGTGAGAAACACAGCCGCCTCGCTTTTTCGTCCAACCAGTCAGTCGATAACCTTCAGGTTAACAGTGCTTATACGATGTTGCACAATACTTCACCATATGCAGTTCATAGGTGGAGTTACTGTAGTGTAGATGTAGCTGGAAACTGGAGCTGTTTGCTGTTTATACTCCACAAATAACTCTTAAAGTCTTAAACCAGAAAATAAATGTCTAGGCTTTGCCCTATACAAATAAATAGTTTGTGGGATCAAATAATTTAAAAAAGATGCATTTCATTACCCATGATCATTCAGTGCCTCTTATAGAGGGGTGCAGGCGTAGGCCAGACTCGGAAGTTAGCATAGCAAAGGGGTCCCTCGATAAAAACCAATGGGATTTGGAATTCGGTAAATTGAAGAATATAAGCTCTGTGGCCATCACACGTTTATGATGCTTAACATGTTTGTTCAGCAGGATAATCTCTCCATATTAAATCTACTTTGTGATTTTTGAAGCGTTAATGCAATTGCCTGGGTTTTGTCTAAACCGGGTAACAGGGGCGCTGCGCTCTTTTTGCCAGAATGTCAATTTTCCCCCTAAAATGTTAAAATGATGCAGGAAAACAATATCTCTGTTAGTCTAAAACTGCATAATTACTACCGTCAGAAGGCCTAGACAGCTTTGTTTTACGGAGCTCCGACGTCACGTTGTTGGTTACATCCGCGGCGCCATCTTGTTTAAGGCCGTCATGTTCTCTCGAGAATTGATAAATCGTATATACCAGATCAGCGCCACAGTATTGCCCCCATATTATATTTTCATAGAAAAACCTCTGCAAACCACAAGTAAAAAGCTAACGCTAGGCCACAGTGATTCTCTAACTTTTTTCAATAATGTACCCCCTTTGAAAAAGAAAATTCAGCCAAGTACCCCCTGATCAGCGCAAAAACTATTAGTTAGGGAAGAAATGACTATATAAAGAGATACAGTACAGCACTGCACCATCAGTGTCTGATTTATTAAAACAACAACATTGTAACTGAGAAACACTTAAATGCCATATTTAAAATGTTTACAATCCATCACTAAATTCATGGCAAACCAATTTCAACATCATGCAATAACACTAAGACGACATTAGTTGCATTGAACTGATCTTTTTAATAAGTTGTACTTACAATGTAGTGAATCATGGGCTTGTGCTTCACTGAGAACCTTTGTCATTCTGACAGGGAGGCAACTGCAGTTATTACACTTTGCGTTTTGAAATATGTGTAGCTCTGTTAATATAATACCCACACTGCTCAAAACTTCGTTACTTTTCCTAAAATTGGTATATTTATCTATTTTTTTTATTTCATTAACATAAAATAAATCTCACGTACCCCCTGCAGTACCCCAACGTACCCCCATTTTTGAGAACCACTGCTATAAACGACTGCATCACCACCGCTAAGCTAAACGCAGACTTGTGTCGGCGTTATTGAGTCACTTGTTTGCAACTGCCGTTTTTATGACACATAAACACTTCGAACATCCCCCTGTGGAGTGATTATTGGCACATTTTATGTTGTATAACAAAATATCCAAATCTCTTCAGCTTGTGTTAACCACATACCTTATTTCAGGCTTCGAACCACACACACATTCAAAAAACCTTTGACTTTGAGACAAGGGAACAGGAAGTGGTGAAATGCTATGTTATTTCTGGGTCCTAGGAGTCATAACTGCACCACTCCATTATAATTTAGCATAAAAAGGTATCTTATTATTTGCCCTGATTATCATTTTCAAATGTTCAAATCAGGGCTTAGGTTTTGTTGCATTTTCTAAGAATCCCTGTACAGCAGTAAAGAGAAAATTGAAATGTTGAAAAGGATTTGATTTTAAGGAGTCACTGCACTTTTTCCAGCCTCTCCTGTCTGCTGGTGTTCATCCATGTGATTCATGTCAAACAGATGTGTTATTGCACCTCAGCAAACATCAAACACAGGAAAACAAACAGGCTGAATATTTAATGCCAAACATCTGAAATTGACAGATATTCGTGATGCTTTTATTTTGTATTGCTATAATATGGCAGGATCCTTTGATGCTGTGTGAACCGGAGCTAACCTTTCGGAGAAACTCGTCAGAACAAGTTTTTTCTGGTAAATCTGCCTTGTTAGAAACTCAGCTGTTGGCTGCCAATATACACACTGAAGTCTGGTTCACAAAAGCAACATTTAGTTCCTGCTCTGCGAGTGTTATGCACTGCTTTGATCTTGTATGCAAGATTTGATCCACAAGTACCGGCTTCTAACAAAAGTTAAATACAGAATGTATCACACTTTATGCAGTGACTAGTGTGATGTGGTTAAAAAAGCCACAATTGCCATCAATAAAGCCATGATAGCCATCCAAAAAGTATGTATAGACTGTTTTATGAAACAATTATTAACAAATGATGCCAATATCTACATCTATCTTTCTGTGTAATGCTTATAGATGTTTTACAAGTGACTTTTTACAGGTTTAAGAATAATTTGGTTACAAAATGTTATAACAATAAACAAATTATAGCATTATTCATAATTAGCAGTTTCAATTATGATAATATATCAAATAACTTGACCAAAATGTAAGTAAATACCACCATAGTAAAAGTTTACCATCTATAAATGCTGGTTATTGCATCACGTTGGGTTTACACCAAGGACTCCTGTGTTTTACATCAGTGTTTTACATCAGTGTTCCACAGGGACACATCTACAGCCCATGTTTATGATGCACCCCCCCCGAATCAACATGCATTTGGTCTGACAATGCATTATTGCCACCGCCAGAATAGTCCTTGCTGTATGGTGAGACCTCAGTCAATCAGTCAATCAATCAATCAATCAATGTTTATTTATATAGCCCAATATCACAAATGTTACATTTGTCTCAGTGGACTTCACAGTTTGTACAGAATATCAGTATGACAATACGACACCCTCTGTCCTTAGACCCTCACATCGTACAAGGAAAAACTTCCAGAGAAAACCCACAGTTTAAAGGGAAAAATGGGAGAAACCTCAGGGAGAGCAACAGAGGAGGGATCCCTCTCCCAGGACGGGCAGATAGATAATACATTTACAACATAGGTAGTCCAAATGTTTGGAAATGCACGTGTCTATAATAAGAAGATGAATCCACGAGGATGTCAGCAATCTTGTGGGAGCCATCAGGGAAGTAGTATGGTGAGAGTCTGGCAGGACCGCAGAGACAGGTTCAGCCACGACTCGAAGTCCAGGACTCAGATCCAGTGCTCAGGATAGAGGATCCAGGACACACGACCACAGCAACAGGATCAGCCTCGACTCAGGATCCCGGCGTATATATGGACACAAAAAAGAGATTTGGGGGAAGCTGGGTTAATCGGAACATGAGAGTACACAGGTACAAACAGCCAGAAAGACGGAGTAAGGTGCCCCCCCAACAGTCCAAGCCTATAGCAGCTAAACTAACGTGTCTACATACATGCACTCCCTTAGGATAGGTTGAGGGAAAAGGGTAGCAAGTAAGAAGTAGGAAACAGAGGTGGAGAGGCACACACAGGGAGAAAGGCTGTTACCTGACATCTGACGGACCCTAATCCAACACATTACCCGCCTGGCAGACAAACAGCCTGGTCGATAATGAAAAGAGCTCAGAGCGACCCGGGGCGGCAGCATTTGTGCACGAGGAGAAAAAAGGAGGCAGACTTCATATTGTGTGTGATGTGTTTGGAGAGATCATCAGAATGGATGTGGTAATAAAGCCTCGAAGCGTGAGAGTGTCGAGCTGATGGACGGCACCGCTTGACTGCAGGTGCACGCTTTAGAGAGATGGCATGTTTTGCATTTGTTGCCACTACAGCAGCCCTTGTGTTTGAGTTGGTGTTCATGTATCCATGATTTCATCCACTTATTTTACCAACAACAAAAGAAATGAAGGGCGCTCACTATGATTGTTTTTTTCCCATTTGAGATGGCACTACACCATTGTTTCCTGTAGTGATATTTACCTTTTCATCCAATATCAGGTAGTTTCATTTAAGTTCAAGATTTTTCAGGAAACAAAGACTTTCACTATCAGGTATAACCACACTACCAGCATACAGTAAACTATGATCATAAGGCATCATACAGGTTACCAAACATTTTACAAAAAGGTAATAGAGGATTAATATTAGGAAATTGTCATATATTGCTTTAGAACAATGAATGATAAACCCATTTTAATTGTAATGCCATTATTTATTTAATCGTTTATTTGGCAGGGACAATGCAGTAATGAACACTTAAAACATTAAAATGTGTCAAGCGTAACAGTGCCAGATTTAGCTTTGAGCTAATTTTCATCCGCAGTCCCTCACATAAAACATTTAAGAAAATTACATTTTACAAACATAGCAAAACAAAATACATGATATGCAAAAAGTGCAAAAGAGCAAGAGCAGCATACACAAGTATGTATGACATGGCAGTACAATATAGCAGCTACGACATATAAAGTGCAAGAGAAGATGCAAGAGCTACATCAAGTGCAAGAGGAGATACCCCTGTATTAAAGTGCAGTTAGAGGTGATTGCACGTCTGTTTGTTGCTCAACCATTCTTTGAGTTGTCCTTTAAAGCTATTGAGAGTGGGACAATCCCGTATCTCAGTTGGGAGGCTATTCCAGAATGAGCTGCCTTTAATGGAGAGGACATTTTGTCCAAAAGTTGTCCGTCTGCGGTGGACTTCACAGTCTCCTCTGGTTTCTGACCTAGTGCAGCGTCCAGTGTGTTTTTTGTGGATGAATTCCCCTAAGGGGGGGGGGGGGGGGCAGTCCATGTAAACATTTATAAAAAAACACATACTTAAAATGGTCAAAACTTAAGAAATTGTGTTTTTCAAGGATGGTACAGTGGTGGTATGAATAAGGCTTTCTGTCAAACACCTTGATAGCTCTCTTGTACAGCTGTTCTATTGGTTTCAGGTTTGTGGCGCAAGCAAACGACCAGTTTGTCAAACAGTATTCAATGTGGGATAGAATCATACAGTGGAGGTCTGACTTTGCAGCATTGACTCTATTGTCATTGCTCAACTGCTTAGAAATGTCCCGCCCCTTAGCCCATCATGTACAATGAGTTGGAACGTTAGCCAATAGAACGGCAGGTGTTGCGTAGTAATGTCACAATGTTACGGAAGTAAACAAAGAAATACAACGGATGTGGGAGAGAAACTCCCTCTGGAGGGAGATTTGGGATTTTAGCCTTTGCAGAACATTTACATGCACAAAAACATATATAACACACTAGAGGAAAGAGATCAACCCAAAAGCATGATAGGGCCCCTTAAATGTATTTTATTAAACACTTGAACCTGAATAAGCTGCACATTCGAGAACATAATTTAGACATTGTGTACAAAATAACATCTTCATTCTTTGTTTTAATTTTCTATGAGATAGCAATGTCAAATGGTCTTCACTAAAACAAGCATTTCTGCTAAGGTGCTCTTCAGCAAAGCACTCTTCAAAGTACATTTGAAATGCGATGAGTGTTTGGCCTTTTTGCCAGAAAATAAAATATCAAATGCATTTGTGACACAAGACAAAAGCAGTCAGCAATATTTTTTGTATTATTTTATTTATTATTTTAAACTCTAACTAGTTTTACAGTGTGGAGAGAAATCATTCAGAAAAAGTGTTACAGTTGTTAAACCATTTGCTTGTGAGTTGCAAACTTGGTTCAACTACAACATGAAGCTCTGCTCCTTACAAACACACTGAGCTATCATGCTTCATTATAACCTCTCCTTATGTGTTCTTATTGCGATCCAAGCCAGCATCATGTGTCCCACTCTCCTAAGATAGTGGAATATGCTGTAAAACATTCATGAAGTACCTATGTTATTTATTAGCTATGAAGCTTAACAATTCACATTCTACAAGTTGACCTTTGTCTTCTAAAAGTTAGTATTTTTTTGTTTCTGGACTTGGATGTGTTTTGTTCATAGTTCAAAAGTTTATTTTTACATACAGCATGAATATAACAAGACCAAGAACTTACGGCCCGTCCACACGGCGGCATGCGTTGAAGCTTCAACGCTTCTGCCCATTCACTTTGAATGGGATGACGTCACGCTTTGCCGAACTGCATTGTGGTTCCGTCGCTTCGCTCACGTTGCTCGCTTCAAAAGTTGAGCAATGTTCAACTTTTGAAGCTTCGGCGGAAGCGTCAGCCAATCGAATCATATGCCAGTACAAGCTCTAGCCAATCAAATCGCGTGCTTGTGTGTCCGGGGCGGGAGATTCATGTGATTGGTTGTTGGTCGAGTTTCAGACACGGCAAGCTTCAACGCACGCCGCCGTGTGGACGCTGCGTTCATGTCATTTTTCAAATAGCTTCGTTTGTTCAGAAAAACAGGATGTTTATTGAAATGCATATATGAAACAAAGAAATACAAATATATTGAATATATTTGGCCTGAGTACAAATGAAATGTGTTATTATATAAGTCATGGAAATATGAATTTGACAATTTGTTATAAAGATATGTTTTTGCTTGCTGTATATTGAATTACTCTAATACAAAAGCATATGGGTACTTTTGGACAAACAAACCTCTGATAGACGTTGAAGCTCCTGTCTGTGTGTGCTGCTGCAGGAAGCTGATCTACCGCCAGCTCTGCTGTCTCAGTTGGCTCCTGGAGGCCCTGACTCTGGATCGCTGATGGATATCCTCGTGGATTCATCTTCCTATTATACACACATGCATTTCCAAACATTTGGACTACCTATGTTGCAAATGTATTATCTTTTCAATTTACACACGGCATCTATTGCACGTCTGTCCGTCCTGGGAGAGGGACCCCTCCTCTGTTGCTCTCCCTGAGGTTTCTCCCATTTTCCCCTTTAAACTGTGGGTTTTCTTCGGAAGTTTTTCCTTGTACGATGTGAGGGTCTAAGGACAGAGGGTGTCGTATTGTCATACTGATATTTTGTACAAACTGTAAAGTCCACTGAGACAAATGTAACATTTGTGATATTGGGCTATATAAATAAACATTGATTGATTGATTGATTGATTGATCGCTCTGGCAGAGTGGGGCCCCTCACCGCCTGCTGGGACCCCGGGTTAGTAATCCTTTTGTCAAAGATTCTCAACACCCCACACACTGTAAATACAGACACTTTTGTAATCTTGGAAATACACCTCATTACACCCACCTGTTTGAAACGTATAAACTAATTTGCTCCAAACAAAATTGAACTTAATTAAAGGTCTCCTATTATACTCTTTTTCATCAATATATTATTGAGCTCATTTTCAGACAGGTTTTTATATAAATGGATCAGGACAAAAAGAGAGAGAATATTTTGTTCCTGAAACTTTCAGAATCTCTTTACACAGAGGGGACACATGTTTACGTATAGAAAAGTAGATTTTGCACAATGGGTGACCTTTAATATGTAGATGCACGATCTATTGATACTGCCACAACAGTACATCTGATGTGATTTTTTTGCCTGAATATTGTTTTGAATATGATGGAGACACAAAAGTCAGGGACCGTCGTCAATACATAATACATGAAATGTCACACATCTTAGTAGTGATTCCACTGCCTGCAATTTCAATACAGAGGCTAAAACACAGCATCAAGAATGACATCATCGGCGATCGGCTCTTTGCGACGCTGACCAATGAGCAACTCCTGTCAGGACTGTGCTGTTTTTTAAACGAGCCACCTGAAGAGACGTAGCATCTATACTGTAGAGCCGGGGATGAAGGGCTACTGATCCGGAGCTGCAGGCCAGGAGCGAGCTGACAGTGCTGGATGAAATATAAAGTCCAAATCTCCGTAGGGGGTCCAGGCTTAGCGAGGAGATTGCATTCTTCTATCTTCGTCCCCACCCTCCAGGTGTCAGCTTCTGTGATATTGACCCACCACAGGGTGTTGAGGGTGAGGAAATGGAGAACAAGTGCAGCAGCCGTTTGGTGCTCAAACGCGGATGTTTTACCCTCGCTATTGCTGTTAAATTGCATCTGTAGTCCGTTTTAATTCCTCAGTGGCGTTTTATTCCAAATGTCCATCTTTTGATTCTTTTTTTGTATCCTTTTATGATCTTTATGGCCTCTCTCATAGTGTCAGAGGAGAGCAGGAGTAGGAGAATAGATTCATTCATAAATGTTAAAAGCGACTGCTTGGTCTCAATAGGTCCTTGTAGAATGTAGTAAAGGGATATTATTGCACACTACTGTAAAGCTTGAATAATTGATGGGAAATGAAAAAGAAGAAGAAAAGCGGAAGGAAAGGGAATAAAAGAGCTACAAAGCGTCATGTTACAGCCTCCAGGGCCTTCACTCAGCTTCAAATCCAATTTCCCAGAAAGTCTTAAGCTTTATGGGCCAAGTGATACAGCTGAGGTATTACTGTACAGGAAGACAAGGAGAGGATGAAATGAAACATTATCACAAGGTTGCGACACTGCTGGGCTTCCCACCAGGCAGACAGCTCTGATCTTGGGCATCAATCTAAAACACTGCACAGTTTTTAGAATAAGATGAATTATGATTTTAATAATGGCCCAAGCGACTCGGGAGCTGTGTCTGCCTGGAAGGCTGCGTTCGACTAGTGGTGAGTCGCAGAAGGTCAGCGGAGTGATGAATGTTTCACACCGGCAATTATGTTCCATTCACAGAGACCCTGGCCGAGGCAGAACCACGATAAAGATTCTGAAAGAAGAAAGAGCCATTGAGAACAAATGGGAGCAGTTTGTTTCCTCCAAGGTATAACACTCTCTTAACACACTTTTTTGTTATATCACTTCATTTTATTATTGTCATAATAATCATTTCTTTTAAATGTCGGATTGAATTGTATTTACATTACAAAAGCCTGTTTTAAGGACCAAAGCTAAATGTACAGTACACATTTATATACTTCCTTGCAGCAAGTAACACTTAAGATAAATGAAAGTACATATTTGAAAAAATATATATAGAGACGAATGTATAAATGATTATGTAAACAAATCAAATATGATACAAATCAATAAAAAAATTAAATGTGTCAATATTTGAAAAAATATAGAAATGAATAAATCATTTCAAACACAATACCCATATTAATTTATGGTCAAATGGTTTCCACCTTTGGTAATGGACTAACATGTTCAGCAATCACATATTGGTGGGATGCATGTGTTCACAGAGCAGAGGACTTTTTCTGTCTGGCCCCCCCATTGGAGAAAAAATAAAGTCGGGCCCCCCCAACACAGGCTCAGTGGCGGCGCCAGAGATTTATTTTGGGGGTGCTGTGGGGTAGCTTGACGTTTCATAGAGGGTGCTCAAACATTTAGGGTTTCCCATTAATGTACCGGGCGCTACAGTGGAATTTTCTACTGCAACAATCCCCACACACACACACACACACACACACACACACACACACACACACACACACACACACACACACACAGTGTTCCCGCGACTGTTACAATGAAGGCTCAATAATCAGCTCACGGCATATAGGTGTAAGCAGGGGTAAAGTGCTATTTTTATAGGTGGTGTGTGGACCTCACATAGGGGGGTCCGGGGGAATGCTCCCCCGGGAAGATTTATTTTTAAATGTTGAAGTTAAAAGCATCAACATCCACTTTGAGAACCACTGAACATTGACTTAAGCAGTCAAACATGCTTACATCCACTGATTGACTCAATTAACAAAATGCACACAAACGTTATCCTTAAGGAAGGGCAGTGTGTGGCAGCAGAGGACATTGGGAGAGCTGAAGTATTGTCCTCCCCTCCACCCTGATAATGAGGCTGAAGGGAGCGTCACACACACTTAAGGCCTGGGTCTTCTCTGACAGACAGGCGGGAGAGAGGGAAGGGCATAGGGGAGAGGAGTGGGGTGGGGGGGGCATTTCAGGCTCCTTTCTGTTGCTTATATGTCGTCCTCAGTTGAGAGATGGGTCTACCTATGGGTGTGTGCCAAGCTTCCGCCTGTCAGCCTGTCTGTGTGTGAATGTGTGTGTTTGCATTTTTCTTATGAGAATCGGATGACTGCACAAGGAGCCAACATAAATTGAAGATATAGCTTGGGGCTTTGAGGAAATCAAATTCTAATTTACTAACAAATAAACATTTCACAATTTCTCAGCTTTTGTTACACGATTGCTTTACTTTTTCTCAAAATAGACGGCCAAACACTAATGGCTAGACATCGCACTGAGATATTTCTAGCATGGTGAAAATATTAGCAAACAACCATCAGTTGTTACCGGCACGTTTTTATCAGCCTCTCAAAACTGATACCAAGGGTCTCCATTCTGTGCTGACCTTTCACACATGGAGAAAAGTGGCAATTATTACCAGTAGCCTCAAGGAAGTTCAGGTTTGGGTTGAGATTTTTGGAATTGTGTGTGATTCACTGTGTGTGCCATAGGTTGTCGCTGTACTTAATATCTATGGCTCTATGGCACAGGTATTAAGGTGTGTGTTGTCACAGGATTGGGTGTGTCTGACCCCAGAAGGGCAAATGGTTTTTGACCGCTGTACCGCAAGTGTGAATACCGGTAAATAATTGTTTACGGTAATTCATGGAAATTGACTTTATTATGCACAACAATAATACAGTAAATGGATTGTATTATTCCGCACCTGAATACAAGCCTACCGATTCATCATTAAAACAACAACACAACCAGTATCGTATTAACACAGTAAAGCGCGTCAGCCAAGTCATCCCTGGGAGTTCATCACAGTAGCTCCTACAGAGGTGTTGTGTGAGAAAGTGGTGTGCTAGCCACGGTGATACAGGCCTACAAAACTATAGCTATACTGTGTCTAACCTGCGACTGAAAGTGACCATTTTCATAGGTGGTTTGAAAAGGCAACCTGTGAACTGTAGGGAACAAATAACCTAGTAAACGATGAAAGAAACATCCACACAATATTGCTTACTGACAAAATATGTATTGAGCAGCAATGTGGATCTTGCATATAAATACACAAGGAGCTCTCTGAATAAACCAATGAGAGGACTAGAAATGTGTTGGACTGGTGATCACCTTGAACTTATTCAGATAACATTAGTTGTCATTTTAAAAGTTAGAAAGAGGCAAAGTATCTTTATATAAAGACACTAATATTGAGTCACCTTCATGTTACCATATCAAATATTGATCTCAATTTAAGAGGAAATGTACTACTGAATCTTCCAATATTGTGAATAATATATTTTTTTTAAAGAATAAACTATAATATCAATTTGTCAAAGAACATTTTCAATGTTATCATACATTAAATTATCTATCAGCATTAGCATTATATAGTCAAAGGTCAGTGATGTACATCATTTCCCATTCATCAGTAAATGTATACAGTGACATCCTTGTAATTTAAATAATAATAAAAGCGTTATTGAGGCCCTGGCTAGATTGCATTTGCATTGCAAATATATATTTTTCACACTTTCAAAACAACTCAGCTGTTAAAATGAAGCAGGATGAGATAAAGTGGGCACACCAGAAATATACATTACAAAACCTCATCGCTAAATACTATAACATACAAGAAAGCACTGTTGCATTATGAAGTTCACTAAACAAAAACATGGGCGGGGGGACTCTGTTTAAGATGTTATGTTCTGGTTAGGCACTACTCTACTGTTATCTTGTATGGCAGATAAGCTTTGTTGTACTGACCTCTATGGGTTAAAAGTCTGAACTCTGTTGTGACCACTATAAACAGGGCTTGGTCTTCTTGTGTTTTAGGTGATAAACTAAAACCATGCTGTCCTTTGTTAATGTACACTACTATGTTATTAAACTCCTTCTCTTTTCCTCTCTAAAAGCCTTGCAGAGCTCCTCCCCGGCGCCCTCGCTGCTCCTCGGCTCGCCTCCACTCACACAGGAAGTCTCCCTTCATGAGTGCCGCCTCCCTCTCAGCCGTCACCCCCCCCCCACTGTGGGCAGCAGCAGTGTGTCCTCTCTGCTGCGGGACGTAGGGGAGGACACAGAGTCTTCAGGAGCACAGGAGACAGGCCAATCTCCCTCAGACTGTGAGTTCTAGATTTACACAAGTACTCATATATTTGACTGAAGGTTAAGTAATAATACCCTCTGACAAGAAGAAGTCTGCCATTCAAAATGTTACTTTAAAAGTTAAATTACAAAATAATTAGCATCAAAGTATACTTATAGTGCCAAACTTAAAAGTACTCTTAATGCAGATGCCACTTTCAAAACATTTCTGCTTTCTGCAACTTTAATGGCTTTTTATAGTGCCATGTTTCTTTATCCATAAAAGTACATTTCATCAAATAAATTAACCTGCAAAGTAATTCATCTTGGCAACTAAATGTAGTGAGTAAAAAGTACAATATGTGCTTACAGTACAAGTTGTAGTAGCGGTATAAAGTAGCATGAAATGGAAATACTAAAGTAAAGTACAAGTACTTCAAATATGTTGGACTGTAATTCAATTCAATTCAAAACCTTTATTTATCCAGGTAAAATCCCATTGAGATCAATGATCTCTTTTTCAAGGGAGACCTGCAGCAGTAGGTTTCACAAGAAGACATAAACAACAGAACAACAAAAGGACATCATACAGCAAAATGTACAGGGATTACAATTTACATATTTAACCACAATTGAGTCAATGTACTCAAGTTATTTCTCGCTTTTGACAGGTACATTTTTTGTTTTGGCTATAGTGTTTGTTATTGTAATACTAATTGTAGCCATCAGAGTGCACCACTACTCCATTCTCTAATTATGGACAAAATTCATTTTTCATTATGAAGTCGTAATGTAGTCAGAATATAATCTTAAACTAGAATGTTCTTTTGCAAATTTGTGTTGAATTTCTATTTACAAAATGTTCAATAATGTCCCTGTTACACAGTGCAGTGTCACTACAAGTATTTAACCCATCACTGGTTACCTCCTGATGTTGGACGTAAATGATCTAATGTAAGTGTTGTAGTCGAATCAAAAGTGCATCATGAACTTGTGCGTACATATAGCTTACAACAGAATGCTACTGTGGTTTGCATATCAAATATAATAAACAAACCAAACTTTACAGGCAAGCATGTGAAAGCAATCATGTTCCTCAAAGGGTGTCGTATTATAAAGAAGAGTCTTAAGACCATGTATGGACAGAAGGTGTAAAAGACAAGAACATGACCCTGAGACATGTGTTAAGTTACACTGAAACATTTTTTGAAACGTTAACTTAAATAAATGTATTATGTAAACAGATTTCACATAACTTTATTGGGTTAGTTGAAAGCAATAATATTACTCTTAAATAATATAATAATAGGTTCAACTTAATATTATTGCTTTCAACTAACCTTATACAATTGTGAACCTGTTGACATAAAACATTTATTTAAAGGCCATGTTTCAGTTTTTCAGTGTGCAATAAAGCACAATCGTTCTAATGCTTGTCTTTCCATGCTTATAAGGCCTGCATTCATTCCTTAGTTCCTAAGTAACTTAAACCCTCACCACTAAAATCCTCTTATTCTTTTTCTGATCCTTACTCTTATTCATTTATCTTATTTATTATCATATTTATCTTATTTAACTTATTTATATAAATATCTCTATCCTGAACTTCTTAACTTCCCAAATTCTATCTGAAGGCAGAGTCACCCTGCAGCCAATGTGAATCTTTACTTAACTTATAAGAAAATAAAACATCCAAAACAATCTCTCTACATGAAAACACTTTCACTAGGAAGATATGAACATGTGTTCACCGAAAGAAAGAAGTTTCATTAACACACACACTCCAACAGAATACTCTGTTGTCATAGAAACAGTTGGACTTAATCTAGTAAGATCACAAATCCTCAATTTTGACGGCCTTACAGAGATGAAAAAGAAAAACATGAAAACATACATTTATTGTCCAACCATGGCAACACACACACACACACACACACACACACACACACACACACACCACCTGCTGAGACTGAAATGGAAACCAAAATAAGAGGCAGGTCTATTCAGTACACTTCTCACTGAGTGATCAGAACCTTTCTGCCCAGGCTGAGGCCTCTTGTGCCCGGTACTGATTCCCAGAGTGCACTGCTCCAGACTTCATAGCAGAGAATAATAAGACACCTGACCCTCCCCTCATATCCTCACCTCCTGATATCTAGTCACTAGAGTCATTGTCGGGTTGTGTTGTCTTCTTTTGCTTCTCCATTTCTCTCACATTTTACTCTCCCCTGCTTCCCTCCTGCTCTAATCATAAAAGGAGTCCAAAAATATCAAAGGATTGATTCACTGCCATTGGTTTAAAGCAATGAACTGCTTTTTCAGGCTTATCCCCAGAGTTATATCTCAAATCCAGAAGTTGGCCACTGGAGATGTGCAGCTCTGCCCACACTCCATTGTTTTGCCTTGTAAATCTGCACAATGAGTTCTAGTTTAGCGTAAAAAATGAAGCCTAGTTTCAAAGTCTTTGATTTAAAAAAGGGAATTGTAGAACTTGGAATAATAAGGAGGTTTATCTTTGCATTTCAATGCCTCTCCCACAGCAGTTTTTTTTTTTTTACCAGAACAGTTAATCCTCCGCACTCATTTGGGATAAAAAAATAAGAACTAAATGTATTCAATCTGAAATCAGCCAATTTGCAAAAGTGATGTCCTTTTACAGTGTCTGCTTTATAGCTCTTCCTCATGAGAACTCAGGCTATACATTTTTTAATAGGCGTCTCATCTCCCCGATTTGCTACACTGTGATTAATTTAGTCACAGCTCATAGAGAAGTTGAATCATTTAGGCTGGTATTTAACATTTTAATGAATGCTTTCTACTCTTGGGAAACTTCATGAACACTTATTGTGTCCTCACCGTGTCTGCCTTCTATGAATAAAACTATAAACTGATGCTTCAGTCGGATTACATACAGGATCAACTTCTCTCAATTTCATGGTGTAGTAACAGTGTGTGGACACCAAGGGGAGCTGTTCGATTATAAATAAATAAACGGCATAACTATTTGGCCTAGTTATGTCTACAACCCTCTTACATATTTTACTCACATATGTGCATCCTTGACAGACTCAAAATGACTTAAGCATATTAGACTACCAGCTAATGAAGAAGCAGGAAAACATAATAAAGATAACACTTTGCAAAAATACAGGTGTAATACCTGTTTACACTGTTCCTGTCTAGTTTTAGCCCTGTTTGACATTTCTGTCTGGTTAAATGTGTTTGAAATGTGCTGTGTGAATGACATAGAGCCCTGTCTGAAGAGATGTTCTCAATAAAGTTTGTCTTATCATCTTATTTTAGAACGATGCAATGTCTACTCCATCCCAATAGCTGTGAACATGATTACATTTGAAAGATTTTGACAGGATTTGTACTCGGTTTTGTCTCGGACCTATATGACTCAAGATTTTATGTCAAAACCACGGCTGTGGCTGGGGATGTGATTGGATGTAAGACTGTTTCAAATGCAACCAATAACATGAACCTTTTGAATACATATGATGAAGAGGAATGTATATTGTACTGCTTGTATGTGGGTATTGTTATGATGTGGATCTTTCAGATTTATGTGGGGCAGGACATAAAGTCTACATTTTAAAATACTAAAATGTTTAATTTATGGTGAAAATTAAAAGGGGAAGAAAGACGGATAACAAATAATAATGGGTACTCACATTAATTATCTTACAAAGGATGCAATACTCATTTTGAAAACATACAAAAATATGTAAAAGCTGCTTTTAAAAGAAGTGAGAATCTGAGCACATCTCAGGTCATCAGGAAACTGACAGCTGCTCTACCTGTATAGAATGAACCTGTTACACATTGATAAATACATTATGTAAATGTGTGTATTGTGGCAGGTTGGCAGGCAACAGGCTGCAGCTGCTTACATGCGGGGAATGCAGTGAATAAGACCAAGATTTATTTTCAGAATTCAAGTGGATAGACCTGACTTAAGGACACTTCTGTCTCAGAAACCCTGCTGTCCTCCGACTGCAAAGCATGAAAAGTAATGTCTTTTTCACAGTTCGAACATTTGAGCTGAGAGAGTTACACATCTATGAGGACGATGGAGTAGGAACAAAATCAAATTAAAGTTCTCTGTTGTTTTTGTGTCTCTAGATCTTTGCACACTCTCAGATGTCCACCAGAAAGGCAAGAAAGAGAGCCAAAGCTCAAAAACCAGCAAGTAAGTTCAGCTATAATTCGGCACCAACGTCTTTAAACAATAAGTGTGTTCGTTTATTGTTGAGAGATGAGACTAAAATGTTGTTGTAAACCAGAATATTTTTCTTAAATCTGTATTTACACTCAAGGACTCTAAGAAACAATAATCCTTTTAAACAAAATGCAACCTATGTCAAATTTGTTCAGATAATGATAAGATACAATCTTGTGGGGATAACAGTTTGACTAAAACTACAAATGATTGGTTTTTTTCCAGAATACATTGAAGGAAATGTTGAATATGATCTAATGACTAAATGTCTGCTTTAACCAAGATGAAACTAAAATGCACATTAAAACAGGATAAGGATGACTAAATATGATGAAAACTAGGTACTTTTTCAACCTTTTAGCATGAGCATATTTGAGCATAAACCTCATGATAAAATAAAATATTTTATATTCACGTTTTATCTCATGAATATAAAATAAATATATATATTTCAGCAGCTGGAAAGATAAACATGGTGTCAAAGATAACAACTTTCAGCCTACTGCCATAGGTCTTCTACCCCTGACTGCTGCTTTTTCCTTTATGATATAAGCCCTGGCAGTAACTGTAACAGTAGCCACATCTCTATTTGCTAGTTTCACTGTAGAGAATCATAAATAAGTCCAAGCCATTATGACCAGCACCAATATCCATGTGAACCCTGCAATGGTTATGTGAACAGAAGTGGGGAAAAGGAACTCTAGAGAGGCAGCTCAACCTGTCCTCCTCTCCCTCGCTCTGTGGTGACAGCCCATCAATTTGTGGTCCTATTTTTAGTCCCCTTCATCTTCATTCCTCTTCTGGCCTATTCAGAGTTTTAAAGGCACTGATCTGAACGACTATGTGAAGAATTTGCTGTAAAGCGTTAGCCTTTGTGGCCGAGGGAACAAAAGGGCAAGTTATCAGGATAATTCCTCTGGTGCTTTCGGCCTGATATTTACCGTAGCTGTTAAAGGTGATCACATGGTTACCATCATTCATTGACTGATTACATGCTCCAGAGGACTTGTTTCTCTCAGACAGCTTTCAGTCATTATGGGGTTGTTAAAACAATGTCTTCATCAACATTTATACTTCGAATGGTTGTAAATGTAACCATATTTGTAGTAAAGGTACTTTATACAGCATTTCAGTTGTGCTGCATTACATTTTCGTACATAAAATATATAAAAGTCAAAAGAAGCAACAAGAAGAATCTGACAATTAGCCTCCACAGATTTTGTGCCAAAAATGGACCTTAAAGATGGCAAAAGAAGAGGGGCTACTGTATAGCTTACCTGGTAGAGCTAGCGGTGCTATATACTAAAAATAATATCTTTTTTTTAAAAGTATTGACGTCAAAAGAAATAGAAAAAGTAAAATAAAAAATTCTAACTAAGTACAATGGCCCAAAGATTGTTTTTTAAGTGTTATTTGGGAAATTGGTCCAAGAAACTATTCTGTTTCTTAGAGAAATGTCTCGGGCCTCATTCTATAGTATCCAACCTGTTTTAGAAAGCATGCTACTTTAACAATACATGACCTATCCCTCTTTTAACAGTCTCTTTGATAAACAGGTCTTACTTGTTGTAATTACATTACATTACATTACATTGCATTTAGCTGACGCTTTTATCCAAAGCGACTTACAATAAGTACATTCGACCAGGAAGACACAACCTTGAAGAAAACAGAATCATATAAGTACATCAGGTTTCATAGAGCCAAACATTTCAAGTGCTACTCAACTGGCTTTAGGTAAGCCAGCCCTTTATTAGTATAAAAGTGCTTCGTTAATAGTTCTAACGCTCGAAGTGGAGTCGAAAGATTGTCCTCTTTTACAGTTGGACCCCACCCGAGTCCAACCCACAGCCCCTGAAGACGGATGGCCAAACCGGCTCCAAGACCACAAAGAGCTTTCCAACCGAGAGGTGCAACTCCAACTGCACCCATACAAACAAAAACTGAAATTGTTATCAAACTAACAGTGTGTGACGTACTTTATTATTATACCTATGTCACATTCTGTTTATATCAATGTTTGTATGCTTGTTCAACATAGATGCAATGTAATGAGGGCAGGTCTTCTTTTATTTTTTTATTTAAACACCGATCAGGTTTTGTCTTTTCTAAGACATGGTCATAAACATTCTGTCATAATTTACATAATTTATTAACATATTTATTGGCAGTTATTTTTCATCCAATCATATTCATTTTCTAAATTCATATATAGAACATGCTTATCGATTTCATGTCAATACACAGGAAACCGATCAATGCATTTTTTCGGGCAGTAACAATGGAGCCATTCAAAACACTGCGGCCATTGTACCTAAACAGACAGATATGAACATTGCAATTTTACAAAGTTAGTTATTGCGTATGTTTTTGATACATATTATCATCACAAATCAGCAATGAGCTAAGATATGTTTTATGTATGTATGTATGTATGTAGCCTTTATTTAACCAGGTGAAGCCCCTTGAGATCAAAAGATCTCTTTTTCAAGGGTGACCTGCAGGACATTAGTTACACATGTAACATAAAAACAACAGAACAACAATAAGGATGACAAACAACATAATGTACAGGGTACAGTTTACAAACTCTATTTACAGAGACAGGTACCATGAGTATCAAACAGCATGTCACCCAGCTGAGTGTTAAAATGATGCAGGGGAACCAAAGTGCTCAGTTTTAAACATGTTTGCAGACTGTTCCAATTTAGTGGAGCTGCACAACTAAAAGCTTTCTTCCCTAAGACAGTCCTAGCACTTGGCACATTTAATAAAACAACATCATGAGATCTCAGGCAATATGTACTTTCAATTCGTCGAGAGATCAGAGAGCAGATATAAAAAGGTAAAAGTGTTCACGTTTAATATGATTCCTCCCATAAAACGTTGTCAAACAAAAATGTGGGGGCTATGTTTTCAACCAAAAAAAGATATAATTCATACACTGTTCATTTCCAAATCAAGTAAATCCAATATGCTATAATACAATACCAAAAAACGGGGTCATTTCATAAATTATTGTAGTTTGCTATACAAATACCGTCTTGTTAGGGAGTCAACATCTGGCACACAGGCCCAGTATACAGCTGAATTATCATCACAAATGAATCGACACAACACTTATTATTGTTTTTCTTTGTGTTTTCTTCACCCAGCTGTCCTGCCATCAGCCACCTCATCAACGACAAAGCCACCAGGCTACGAGAGATAACAACTGCCTTTAAGGGAAGAGTGGAGGAGATATCTCGGAGCTACGCAGACGTCCTGGAGCTCAAAGCCAGGTTTGATAATCATCCAATCCCAACTGACTTATTTCTCATTATGGGTTCTCCAAATATATCCTAAGTATCAGCATGATGGTAACCTGCCATTAAATACTGCATGGCTCTGAATAATTGTTTGTCACAAAAACTTGAGGGCTTCCTTGCTAAGCTTTTTAATACATTGAGATTAATTTAGTAACTGTTTTGACCTTATTCTGTTTTATGTTGTCGTATTCTTTTACTTAATTACTCACTGAGCCTTTGCTCTACGATGACTGAGAGCTGGGCGTCCTTCACATCCCTCAGGGTGGTTCTCCTACTTGAGTAACAACCATGTTTGTTCTGTTATACCAGTGTGTGTGCTTAATAATTTTGTAAGCGTAGTTTAAATACAGGCAGGGTGCCAATGCAGCATAAGGTGATTGTAAGATAACACGGACTCATTCAGGTTCCTTCTTCTCTGTTTTGTCAATTTGCTTTCCTTCCCCCATCCAGGGAGAGGTTAAACAGCGGCCACCAGGGGTATCGAGTCCCGGGTCACGTGACCCAGGGCCTTCCTCCCCATGTGACCTGCCTGTCCCGAGAGTCAGAAGCTCCAGACAACAAGAACAAAAACAAGCACAGTAACAATATGTGGTATGCAGCCTGTTGAAGACATTATCAAATGGAATGTGGAGTTGGGGGGGAGGGGGGGGGGGGGGGGGGGGGGGGGGGGGGGTTGAGAGGTTTACTGGGGCTGCATGCACATGTGGTCTGCATATGTGTTAAAAATGTGCACAAGAGAGCATAACACCATCATATTCTGATGTGTTGTAGCACAGTGGCAGTGATGGATCTGAGATTGTTTCATTTCCTCGCAGGCTGTCCTCTCTGCTGAGCAGCCTGCCACTGGAGGTGTGCAGGGAGCGGGCGGGGGGCCGGGTGCTGGAGAAGCTGAGGGGCTTTGCAGAGCAGCAGAGCCTCAGGGTTCCACCTCAGGTCCTGCTGAAGGTGCTGGGGGGTCTGGAGCCGTGGGAGCTCTGTCTGCCTGAGCTGTGTGTGGCCGTCCAGGTACACAAAACACTTCCTCACACCCAATGCACAAAGCATAATACACGTATAGGGAGCTAGCACACTTTTTAAGCAACATCAAGGGACTGCTGCAACCAATGATAGTTTATTCCCCACATTGAAAAATGTACACAAGTATTAACAAACACAAAGGTTTGATTATGGAATAAATGTCACATTGATTTTAGAGCAGGAGCATATATAATGAGTTATGTATGATACAAAAAAATAAGCATTCAAAAAATAACCAACAGTTTGGCCATCATCCTGTGATTAAAAACTGTCACTTTTGTTCACACTGCACTGTAACTTGTATTCATGTACCTTTGTTATTCATGTGTTATTATCTTTGCTTTTAAATGAGTGTTTTTAAATGCCATTTTATAATATGTTTCTTAATGCTCGTAATGTCTTTCATTTTTGTAACGCACTTTGAATTGTCTTGTGTTGAAAGGTGCTATATAAATAAACTTACCTTGCCTTGTAGAGTATGTTCAAAAGTAATATTTTGGAGTATGCAATGTTCAAATTCCTAGTTGAAATAGCCACAATTACAACTGAAATCTGGACAAACTTAATCCTATTTCTGTCTTCTGAGCTGGGTATAGTGCAAATCTGTATTTAGGCAATTGTATAAAATGTGTGATGAAAAATGGTCATTGTAATTTGAGGGCAGTTACCCTGAGACCATTATCCTGGTTAATTTCCACATGCTAAATGATAGACAATAGGTTGTGGGATTTTCCAACTCTTCTGATCTTCCCCAAAACGTTAAACCCGGTAGTTAAACTCTCAGCCACTCCCACCAAACCATCAATTAGGGACGAGACCCACTCCCAACACTAACAGACCCCAGACCCTCTGAACACGCCCCTACCGGTCAGAAATGAGGGGCAATTAGATCCTTCCAGACTCCGGAGCAGATAGCTGAAGGTGTAATGACAGGAAGCCGCCTGATAAATCACACCGGGGCTCTGTAGGGGGGTTCACTGTTTTTGGAGGGGCAGTGGGGAGGGGAATGCTGTCCCACCTTGTTCCTTTTCAGGACAGTGTGTGGCAGTGTGTCCCACTCTGAAGCTCAGACCTGAATCCAACAGAGCACGGAGGACTTGGATTGTTTCCTGTCTCAGCGCTGAGGGTTGTGGCGATGGGCACCAACGTATAATTATACTGGTCGCCATCAGTGTTTTTTTAACAAAGCCTCATTTCTATTTTTATTTTTTCAAACATAATGGGCAAGGAAAGGCAACGTTTTTTTATTTAGCACAGTCCAAATTGAGGCAATTCAGAATGCTTTTTAATTAAAAAAATATACAAGCATTAATATATAGTGCAACATGCACCCATTATAATATAACATTTAAATCAAATCAAAAACAGAAGTCAATCAAAACAGTCATTCAAAAGCCAAAATAATACAAATAAAACAGCTAAAATAGAATAAGACAGGATTCAAATACAAGAATAAAAGTGACAGTACAGTGAAAGATTGTTATTTGATGTAATAGAAGGCAGCAGCAAAAAGAAAAGTCTTCAGTCTTGATTTAGAATAAGTGGTGCTTGCCTTTTTCTGGGAGTTTGTTCCAGATAAATGGAGCATAATACCTGGACGCTGCTTCTCAATGTTTAGTTTTGACTCTGAGGACAGAAAGAAACCCTGAGAGTTCTGGATGGTTCATAATGCTAAATGCAATGTAATGTAATGTAGCTGAAGATCTGAAATGTATGCTGGCCCTAAACCACTGGGTCTCTATAAACAGGGCTGCACATAACTGGTGCGCAGGTGCGCATGCGCACCTCCGCCAAAAAAAGAGCACCGGGTCATTTGAAACAAAGCGCATTTGCGTACCAACATTGAGAGAGGGAGATCAAGATATTTGCGAGTTGCATATGAACTCAGGGCCGGCCCGTAGCGCTGGCTAGATGTTCGCCTAGGGCGCCAGATCTGGGGAGGTGCTGCGCTGGCAGTTCTGGGAGGGAAAAAAACATTTTTGACCGTTGGGGCTCTTCCTAATTTTCGGCCTTGATGTAAAAATATTCATAATTAAGTAAATGTAACACCCTTTTCACCCCGGTTCCACCTTTCATTTGCCCTGTACGATGGGCGCTGTAAGTGATGAAAATGGGGGATGTTGGTTTATCTGGCGCCCGCAGCTCACAGCCAAAATGCGAGTGAGCGAGGGAGAGAGGAAGGGTGCACCGGTACCAGCGCTGTTGTTATTAGAATCTGGTGCTAGCTGCTTTAACGGATATAAGAAGAAGATGTTTCTACAATGATGTGGAGGGAGAGTCCTCTCCAGTCAGACGGAGAGGCTGATAAGTTAACTACAGCTCAGTGAGGTAAAGGACTCTTAGTCTAAGTTCAAACGGTTTGGTCACAATTTATGTAAACACATATTTCCAAGGCACTCCTTTGTAATTATTGGGATAAACAGGTTTTAAATCATTCCAATGTGTACTATAGGACAGTAACCAAAAATATCCTTTAAAACTGGAAAGATAAAAAAAAAATGCATAAATAAATGTTAAGGTAAAATAAGATATGAATGAACAACACAAATAAAATAAGTTACATTAATTTGTTATTGGCTATGGTAGGCTATTGGTTATGTTCACATACTTATTTGATTACATCCACTTGTCTAAGATGACAACAGAGACTTTCGACCCAAAACCAGCAGCTAATGGCAGACTCAACCAGAGAGAAAGTAGTAGGCCTACATCATCAGCTACCATGTCTGACAGAGAGGAAGACAGTGAGGAGAACAGTCAGGAGGGTAGTGATGACAGCTTGTAGGATTACTGGTCGTGCTAATGTTGTCTTGTGTTCACCTCTGCATGTGTGTTCAGTGTGCACCTCTGCATGTGTGTTCTGTGTCGTGTGTCTGGCAAATAAAGTCAAGAGCCCCTCAAAAGTTACGGTTTATTTCATTTTAAGGATGAGCACCAAGCAACATCTCCAGGTGCTCCTTTGAGAACCAGGGCAAAAAAGTTATTTGCACCCCTGTCTATAAATCACCAGTAGTATGTTGCACTTAATTCTTGAACAGTTAGGAAGCCAGTCTAAAGACCTCAAAACTGGAATGATGTGATCCACTTTCTTGGTGTTAGTTAGGACTGGAGCTCTTAATATTTGAAATACTGTAACTTTTTTGTCCAGCATCTGTTAATGTCTCTGTGACCCCTCCTCCGTTTCCCTTCCTCCTCTGTCAGATTGCCACAGAGCACGTGGTCCAGATGCCCAGGGAGGAGTACGACACCTGGCATGGTTCAAGGGTCACTCTGCTCCCACAGTACCGCCATGCCCCTCAAACACCAGGTGACCCACACTCATTGAGACCTTGAAGAAGCCTACAGGCAGCGACAAACCATACACAACAGCCCCACCCAGTTTGGTAAAATTAAATGTGAGCTCAAGGGTGAAAGAGCCTAAGGTCGCGTTCACACCGGCCTTGTTTAGTACGGTTTAATCGAACCCTGGAGCGTTTAACCCAGGGGTGTCATCACTTTTTTCACCGAGGACCACATACAGAAAAATATTCTAAGGGCCAGGCCGCTCACTAGAGGTGAGGTATAATGCCTCATTCGTTCAGTTATAAGTTGGCAAATTCAAACAAAAGTAGGTAAATTATGCTCAATACTTGAATCTGCTTTAAGAAAAATAAACAGCCTACATCCCAGCTCTCCAGAGAGTTTCATTTAATTTGTTAGCAGCTCATCCCTTACAACAGGAGCCCCTGATTGATTATCATAAGAGGAAATAGGAAAGGTATATTTCAAGTTTGTTATTTATATAAGTTATTGTTTTTTATCGACTTAGATTTGTTAGAACATATTTTCAAATGTAATTGACTGAATTTATTGTAAATTAGGCTTATTAACACATGAACACTACTGTGTAATATATGTTTACAGATATATTTAAAAGTAAAATACAAGAAAAGCTCAAGTTTCATCATATATATATATATATATATAAGAATATATAACAAATTCAATGTTTACAGTTTAGAGTCCGTTTGAGGTTTGCCTGTGTGAACGCAAACCGAACCTTCTGAAAAATGAAACAATGTAACAAACTCATCTTGTGTGCACCAAAGAAGAGGACTATTAGGTGAGAATGTGACCTAAATTAGCGTTACAGTAATGGGATAGGTTAGGAACTATGAGATTAAAGGCACTATAATAAAAAAATGCTTCTGATTGACGGTAATCCTACACACCCAGTCAAAATTGTGTCAAGAACTATTGTATAATTTTTGGCAAAGATAAATTGTTTTTTAACTTGTTTAGTTTAAAAAATAGATAAAAACTCATCGTTTTGGTTAAACGTTTTTATTTGTGCACATTGAGCATGAACAAATGTTACCTCTTGTCTTAGATTTGCATTATTATTGTAATTAGTTGATAATAACTCCATATCGTATACACACTTACTCTGCTTGATGCCATCATTTTCCACACAGCGGACTGAAGTAGGTTGTAAAATTAGCACCCTTATTTACAAAACTATTGATTGTTAATCCAAGCATGGGACACAGGGAGATTCACACCCTACTCTGGGTTATACATGTTTACAGGAAGACATAAAGACAGACATACCTTCACACAAAAAGCAGAGAAGCAAGAAGCAGGAACAGTACATACCTTTCTCACCTTTATCTACTGTCTAGATTTACAAAGAATAACAAGATGTCTTCCTGGATGCCTGCATGTAGTCTTTGTCCCGCAAGTCTCCGGTGATAACTCACAAGATAACATAATTTCTACTACTTCCTTGCTACTCATGCCAAAAACCCAATTATCTTATTCATTCTAAACAAACCACTGATGTTGCAGAATGTGAAATATGTTTTAAAAGGGCATCCCTTCCTGTTGGCAAGAAAAAAAATGTCCTGCAACGGCCTAATTCACTCAGTGTTTCCACCAGCAAATGTGCTGGAAGAAGATAGATTGACCCACGATCACACACAGTATTAGCTGTCTGTAGCAAAACAGACATTTACAACATACTATAAGAGGCTGCTTTTTAAAATACCTCTGTTCTATCTAATGAATTGCAAACATGTGACATATAATTCAATATACCAACACTCAGTTGTGCAGTTGAACCCAGCCAAACCTCCACAGTGACCTTCAGCATTTTCTGTGTTATTTTCACCAAAATATATTTAGTAACTTGCAGTCCTTATCCATTCATGATAACATGTACAGTTTGTTTTCCACGTGAGATGGAGGGTATGGCATACAACTTCTTTAATCTGTGTTTGTGTATGTGTGTGTGGGTGTATTGGCAGCGCACCAGTTTAGAGTGAAAGGGGAAGTGTTTTGCCTAGAAGAGGAGGAGTGGAGTTGGGAATAGGAACAGCAGCCAGCCAGCTAGCACTCAGTTCAGGAATGCCACAGAGTCTGAGCTCAACTCACCCACCCCCACACTCCCCTCACTCAGCCCTGGGCTCGGGGATAGTGGGTGCGGGGCGACTACGAAAACATGAGGGGGAATATTCTTTCATTTGAACATCTCACTTAGGTCTTAAGTCTCAGGGCACAAAGTCTAGACCAAATAATGTGAGTGATAGCAAATAAAACTGCAAGTCAGTGGTTTAACTGCTAAGTTATGCACATAAGTAAAATAATGAAATAGGCTTTAATGATGTCTCAATCTGGTTAGCTTTTAAGTTATTACCCAATATTTAAGGTTGCACATTAAAGTCAACCAACAGCTGTTGACTCCAAACATTTTTATAAACTCCATGTTTTTAATAAAAACCAGAAAAAAATCAACTGTTCTATTAATTTTCTTCTCTTTTTTTCCTACTATTTTTTTTTCTTCTCAGACTTTAAAAAACGTTCCACTATATTGCCTCTACACTGGCGTACACGCTCACAAAAACATAATCAATAGACTTCCTTAATTTCTAGGATCTAACAAATGTGGCAATGTATCAAGCACGGAAGACGGTGTAAGAAAATGCTATCAAGTTGCATTATGGGAAATGTAGAAGCCAGTTTTTTCGGATGGGTGCTTAAAGTCAGGATATCGTGCTACTTTTATTTTGACACAATTGTTTCCTTTAACCAGTCGCTCACAAGCCCCCAGCTTTACACAATACTGAATTGCTTTCTGCTTTGCATCTTTGTCAATAAGTATCAACAAAGTTCATGTGTCAACAGTTTTTGAATATTGAAAAATGTACATAAGAACTGGGTGTAAAAAAATGACCAATACCATTACAAGCAGTGAGGAGTATGAACAGAATAAAAATCCTTTCTGTGAAAATGTACCCTTAAATTAACGACAGAACACACCGTTCCCTGCTTCAGGTTTGGATAGCAATGAAGTCTGCAGGCGTCCTGATCTTATAACCTTGAGTCCTTTCCACCACTTCATATCAGAAGTACAATGACCGGGCCGCCTAGGAAAATTCAATATTTACTCTCCAGTTTACTGGCAGCGGCCTCCCCATGTTTGTGTAGTTATGAAAGTGAATTTGACTTCAGTAATGGCACAGAGAAGTTGTGTTTGCTCAGTTGTGAAAATGATTACGCAAAAGAGTTGATGTCAGTTGATGAAATCAACTGACATTAGTGGTTGTGAAAGGCAGATGTTATAGTACATACAGTATGCTGCAATTCTCCTGGGATTTAACATTCAGCTAAATAATCATCAGTTCTTATGCATCTGTATTTCTGCTTGCTCAAAGTAATAGATAGGACATCATTTTTTTTATTTAAGTTAAACATGTGATAAGGTTAAAGTAGACTTTCGAAAATAATGTAAAATCTGTTATGGCTGCATGACATGCTTTTATCAGTTCCTTTATTGTGCCCTCCTGCATGTTCTCTTGGTTAGCACTTTGTACTACTGATTAACCCCCCACAGCTGGCACTTCGCACATGTATTCTTATCACTGCTCAAACATTAAGTGCTGTTCTCAAAGTCACACAAGCTTTCAAATATTGTGATCCAGAGATCTATCGTGGTAGTAACTAGTGATTCGATGTGTTTTTATGTCACTGTGACAAATGTTGTTTTGCACAAGTTCAAAGTAACTTGTCACACCAGCTCTGCGTTCTGCTGTCCACACTGACCGAAATAACCGTAGCGTTAGCTTAAAGTACACACAGGGCCCTTTACAGCTGAGGCCGCAGAGGGAAAACACCTGTTGCTGTTCCACTGTCGCCAGCACATCTGACCATTACTGTAGAGTACATTTAGCCTGGTTGTGACTTTTATTGACCGAATTGTCTTTCTTGGAGTATTAAGTACATTTAGTAGTTTCCTGTAGTTAACATACATTTACTTTAAGTGACAGAAATAGTCTTCACTTCATTACATTACATTACGTTACATGTTACACGATTTATCCAAAGTTACTTACATACTCAATACTGTGGGCAATCCCCACAGGAGCAATTTGGGGTGAAGTGTCTTGCCCAGGGACACAACGACATGCTGACTGCAGTGGGGTTTGAACCCTACGCACTAGCCCACTGCGCCACACGCCTCCCTTCATCTGTTGTCATCATATTTTCAAAGAAAGTTATTTTTGGTTGTTGCTGTGTGAAAACCTTGTGATTCAAGTGGTGTGGCCCAATGGGAATGTCCAAAATATTTAATCTATTGGATAGATTATGTACATTTGTACAGAAATGTGTGGTTTCCAGTCAACACATCCTACAGTAATCATTTTAGTTATTAGACTTTTTTCAGAGCAAACAGTAGGTCAAAATGTTATTTGTTGAATACTTGAAACCACCGATAACCATATGCCCTGAAAACGTTGGGACAGTCCAGTATTACGAGCAGTTTTCACAAATGGTCTTATCTTGTTTGTCCTTAAAATCAGACTAAACCCAAAAACCTGAAATAATTATGGCTGTGAAACATTAATTTTGTGTTGCCTACAGATGGCCACTATTACGTCCGTTAACTACATGAGATATGGCCGATGTCGTTTTTTTTGCTATGTTCAGTAGCGCTACAACCGGATAAACGACCATACATAGCAAAATATAAAATTATTGAGTTAAAGCAATAACAAAAAAAAACATCCATCCCTGACATAGAGACTTGTGTCCCAAGACCAAAAAGAAAGAAATTGCGGTTAAAAGACATTAAAACGGTAACATGTTGTCAACACTAATGTACTGGAGGCTACGCCCAACCCCCAACAGTCCTGTCCTAAGTAGCACCCATATGTATCCGGTCACCAACGTGAACATGTTAAACATAGCCGCTAAACAACTGTTTGTTAGCATTTTCATTTGGAGCATTAGCATTAAGCTCAAAGCAACACTGTGCCTGAGAACAGTCCA